GCCTGCTCTTGAAGGCTGCCTCTTGCTGGAGGTAGTCTGTCTGTCCATTCAGCTGAAGACTGGAAAGATCGTGCTCTAGGTTTAGCCTTGCAAATTCAGACAATTTAAGAAGTAGAAGAAAGGCTTCGCTCCCAGGAGCCAGGTATAATTGAAGCCTTTGAAGTGGTCATTTGTCAGCTCCCGTTGAACTCTCGTCTCCCTCTCAGAGGTGTCCCTCCGGCTGTCCCATGTGCACTGTGACCGCTTGACCATCACCGGGTGTTGCAGAGAGAAGCAGCGTCCTGTCCTGCATGGCTGTTTCTGTCTCCTGTGACTTGTGCTGCTAGTGGGTTCATTTTTCCAGTCTTCTGGTCAACAGAGCCAATTCTGTGGAGCAGAATAGTATTCAAGTACATATTGAAGCATGACAGCCTTTTGATAGTGATAGCGATAATTCACCCCTAAAATAAAGGATGTCGATGATGAGCTTTGTAAGGAATGTCACCCCACCTAGCATTGTATCGTGGGTTGAAATTTTGGCAGCTGTGTCACACATGAGGCGAAGCACCGTGTTCACTTGGACCCAGGTGTAGCCCTTCTCGTCAGGTCAGGCTGGTGCCACAGAGGAGATGGCAGGGCTGCTGGCATGATGGCACACAGGACCAGCCCCAGGATGTCCCGTGCAGTGGCCTTGCCGCCATGTGGGCTGTGGACTCCACCTCCTGTGTACATCCCAGTCAGCAAAACAAAACTTTTCTGTTTAGATGCCCGGGGAAGAAGGCTGCTTGATGTTTATTTTTCAAGACTTAGAGTCTTTTAAAGACTTTTTGGTTATTTAAAAAGAAAGGCAGCCTGCGTGTAGAGTTGCTAATTCCTCCCATGAAATCAGGGAGTGGTTAGTTAGGAGCACTGTAATCCGCACTGTTAAGGCCTGCGACATAGATGTGCTTGGTGAGGACTGTTTATCCCTATTTGTGGAGGCTCTCTGCTGCACACAGTAGTCGCGTCCTTCGTGGGCTATTTCATTCTATGCCCCGGTGATGCAGAAGATTTTTTTTTCTCCAAAAAGAAATTGATTTAGATGCTTTCTAAAGGCTTACTCTAAAACCCAGATGATTGTAAATCAGACGGTTTGATTTCATGATCTGTGGGGAGTGTCTTGGTGATCTGAACGGTGGGCACTAAGCTGCTGGGCCCTTTGATCTGCGGCCCTGTCCTTGGGGCAAGTTCCTGGACATAAAACGAGGGTGGGGTGGAGGGAGGTGCTGGAGATGGCCTTGCAGGGCCTCTGCCAGGCTGGGGCGGAGCTGCGCTCTGTCCCTTCTGAAGAGGACATGCAGGTGTGGTCTGGCGGGCACTGTAAGCTTTGGAAAGGTGGAAGGTAAATGACCCCCATCTCTCTTCTCCCTGCCTCTGTCTCCGAGCATTGCTGGATGTGGCCCCAAAACTCTGTGCGTGCGTGCGTGCATGTGTGCGTGTGTGTGTGTGTGTGTGTGTGTGTGTGTGTGTGTGTGTGAGAGAGAGAGAGAGAGAGAGAGAGAGAGAGAGAGAGAGAGATCTGTAGACCCTTAATACACTGGGACCAGGTGGTAGTAGCTGTCTGGGAAATGGACCTAGAGACGTCGGCGTGGCTGTGTATTCTGCTCTGAACTCTTCAAGGCAGCTAGCTGGCCCTGTGGTTCATGATCCCGTGGGCCAGTGAGACACCCTGCCCAGCCCGGCCCTGCCCCCGACACTGGCTGGCCTGTGGCAGAGGTCGGAACGAGAGCAGCTGCTGACTAGCAGATGGGGGGCTTTCCCAGGGAGGGGGGTTCCCCTGCTCTAGACCCACCTGGGCCCCCGGCACCCCAGGGCCCCCAGATGCATGTCCATCACCCTGTGGGGCTGCAGATGCCAGAAATAAGCCAGCACCTAGTTCCCTTCTTGCAGATATGGAAAGCAACAATTGTGTATATTAAAAGTGAACATTAGGAAAATTCACAGTGACAGACTCCAAATCTAGAGACGGGCATTGACAACACGAAGTCAGAAGAGGAACTTCCTCCCGAGGGCCAGCTGGCCAGCCGTAAGGTGAACCACAGGGCTGTCAGTGGGAGCGAGGGGCGTGGTGCAGAAACTCAGGAGAGTGACCGCCTCACCCAGCATGCTCTGTCCAGCCGGAGTGTCCTCCACATCTGAAGGACTTCACGGAGCTTCACGGACAGGCAGCGACTGAGGGAATTCACAGCCTGGAACCAGTTTTGCAAGAAGCATTGACAGAGTCAGTTTCCGGGCCGGGGAGACGCCAGCTGTGGCGCTGGGCGCTGCATCTCCCGTGGGCCCTGTGGCAGGACTCAGCGAACACCAGGTCGTTTGCTCCTGGTTTGCCGAAGGGGGTTGTACATTTTCAGTGATAAGTCAAAATCTCATTTTTATTGATTCTCTGTGTCTTATACCTTTTTTTGTACTTTTTACATTTTTACATTTTCTCTTTTATTAATGTAGGAGTACTGCTATTTATTCAGCCATTGGTTAAGCTGATTGAGTTGTCCATGAACTCCACATGACTTTTTTTTTAATTGAGTATCCGTGAGATAGACCATTACAAAGCTGTTCAAAATGGGTTTCAGTCATACAATGATCCCATACCCATCCCTCCACCAGTGCACATTTCCCATCACCACTGTCCCTGTTTCCCTCCCATCCCCAAAAACCAGCCCCCAAACCCCCCACGCCCCTCCCCACCCAGCCTCCCTCTATGGGAGACACTTCCTTCTTGCTCTCTGCATCCAGAGATTATTTTTTTTACGATAATCTTTTCTGTATTAATGAAGACAATTCAGTAGTATCTATAATATGATATTTTCTGATATAAAAGCAATATTCCTTTTTTTAGGATAAAGCACTTTGTACTATTAAAGAACTATTCACATTTTTCCCATTTAAATTTTATTAATTCTTTTCACTCTTACTAAATTTTACCTTTGTAGGTTTTGCTGATTTCATGGAAACTAAAAAATATTAGCACAGAATTAGCACAAAGTGGGAGGATATGATAATTACCATATGATAATTGCCACAGTACAGTCCAAGTGCCAGGGCCAGAGAGATGGTACATCAGGCAGTGTGCTTGCATTGGCATGTGTAAAACCCGAGATTTTCTGAGTGTGGCCCAGAAAAAAAAACAAACAAAAAAATTCAAGTACAAAATAAAATTGAATGCAGTATATTTTTAATGCAGGGTTGAAAATTTAGTTATATAAATGAGTATAGGCAATATAATGTGTAGTGTGTGTTAATATATTAAATAATTTGAATTTCTTTACATAAAGGCAATATAATGTGTAGTGTGTGTTAATATATTAAATAATTTGAATTTCTTTACGTAAATTAAAATCACGTAGGAATCAATCATAAGTTGACTTTTATTGATTTATTTTCTAATAATTCCATTTGCCATTCCTATAAGTTTTGTTCGAACAAGTAATGTGAAATAAATGTGTTGTATACCTGCCAGGGGGCAAGCTGGGGTGAAGGGGGAGGGGACAGTGATGCTGGAATTGGCAAGGGAATATTGGATGCCTAAAACAATTATTATGAACAACCGTAGCACTGTAGCACTGTCCTCCCGTTGTTCATCCATTTGCTCAAGCAGGCCCAGTAACGTCTCCATTGTGAGACTTGTTGTTACTGTGTTTGGCATATCAAATATGCCACGAGGAGCTTGCCAGGCTCTGCCGTGGGGGCGGGATACTCTCGGTAGCTTGCTGGGTTTTCCGAGAGGGGCGGAGGAATTGAACCCGGGGTTGGTCGGGTCGGCCACGTGCAAGGCAAACTCCCTACCCACTGTGCTACATATTAAAAATAAAAAGAGAAAGGAAGGAAGAAAATACCCAAAGAAAGGTCAGCATCTGCTTCCTAAATGTTGGCATGTGAGGTTGCTGGTGGCTGTGGAGTCACAGGGCTCATCCCCTGGTAGGTTTGCGCTGTTGGCTCTGGGGACGGGCCTGGCCAAGGAGCTCTGAGGAGAGGCCAGGGAAGGGGCTCAGGGGCACAGCCTGGGCCCCTGGGGCCTCTGATGGAGTCTCGGGCAGTCTGCACAAGAAAACCGGAGGCCAGATCTTGGCCTGTTTGTCTAAGATTTTATATTCAGTCGTACAGAGCGCGATCACTCTTTCCTGGGTAGGTAGAGTGTGTGGCCGCCATACATGAAGCATGAACAGCAGTCGACTCTCCAAGGGCGGGGCGGTTGAAGTTTGAAGATAATAGTTGTTGACTTAAAAAAGAAAGAAAAGAAAGAAGGGGGAGAGAGGAAGGGAGGGGGAGGGAGAGGGAAGGAGAGGGAGTGCGAGGAAGGGGCGGGGGGAGGGGGGGATGTTGAGTGCCAGCTCTGCCAGACCCCTTGCCTGCTCCTGCTTGCTGGCTGTCTGATCTCCACTCAGCATTTATGACCCTGCAGGTGACTGTACCGCGGGTGACGCTTCGATGCTAGGGCCATAACCAGTTTCTTGCCGTCGCGTGTCCCAAGCATTTCTGCTGTACACCCTTCTGCGTGCTGCACCAGACACACGCAGACTTCAGCCCTCCAATCACAATGGCCTGTCAGTGTCTGTATCGCAAACCGTGATGCCCAGAGGAGGGAGGGAGAGTAAAAAGGAAATTGTATGCCTCAGAGGTAGGATGGCGTGGGGGTGGGGTGGCAGGAGGGATACTGGGGACATTGGTGGTAGAAAATGTGCACTGGTGGAGGGACGGGTGTTGGATCAGTGTTTGGCCGAAACCCAAACATGAAAGCTTTGTAACTGCATCCCGTGGGGATTCAATAAAAAGTATTAAAAATAAAACCAGCAGCTACAGGGGAGGCCCTCAGGCAGCCCTCTGAGGTGCAGAGCACCACTGCTCGTGTCCCACAGGCAAGGGCCAGGGAAATGAGGGGCCAAAGACACAGAGGTTCCTGCTGTGTTTGCCCCTCTGACTCTGACCGGGCCCTTCTGCCCCTGCCCCCATGGGGTCGGTGTCAGCTGACTTTTCTCTCTTTGCAGATGAGCGCGAGGCCGTGCAGAAGAAGACGTTCACCAAATGGGTCAACTCCCACCTGGCCCGGGTGTCCTGCCGGATCACAGACCTATACACGGACCTCCGGGATGGGCGGATGCTCATCAAGCTGCTGGAGGTGCTCTCCGGGGAGAGGCTGGTGAGTGCTGCCTGGCGGGAACTACTCAGAAATCAAGTCAGAGCTTGTCTCTTGCTGAATTCTGTGAGTTTTTTTTTTTACAAGAATAAGTTAATTTTATTGAGAAACACATGGGAAAATACACAAGTCAGGGGCCAGAGAAGTAGAAACGTGGGTAGGGCACTTGCCTTGCAGGTAGCTGGCCCAGATTTGGTCTCCAGCACTCAGTGTGGTCACCCACGCCTTCCAGGATTCTGTAGTTAGTGGTCGATATTTTCAAGGAGACTGTTGGTAGGTGAGGTGCCAGGGCACCGTTCTGACTGTTTGTTGATGATTACCTTAAGCAGCATCCTCGTTTTGGTCATTTTCAAGGTTATTCCTTTTGGTGAGAAAGGTTTTGGCCAGTGTCCCCTTTAAACAGGGTGTGATGCTGGGAATTGAAGAACCAGGCCTGGCCACTGTCTCCAGGACGAATCTGCATCCTCTGAGATCATGGAATACTTTTAAATGTCTCTCACCGATTCTCTGGAAAAATCTAAGCTGCTATTTTGAAGGTGGCAAGAATCCGATTTCGTGGCCTCTGAGGTCTTTTTTTCCTACTTTCTTCCCTGCGTACTTTTTATTTGGAAGAAAGGCTGGAGTTTCGACATCTCCTCGGGAACTTGAGCTCCTGAGGAGTTTCTTGTGCCATTTCCATCAAGGCGTTTGACGGTCTCCAGTGAAAATCCTACCCCCATTCTGTTCCCCAGAGCTCACGCAGCCGTCTCAGGAGTGGCTTCTTGTTCACGAACTTTAAACCACGGAAGCTTAACCCCCAGACGCGTAACTGACCCAGCAGGTTTGCTCTCGCTTTGCTCTGAGCATGGATGCCCAGTGCTCCGGGGGCTCGCGAGCCCCCAGATGGCACCTCTGCGTGTGTCGTTGGGAGAAGGTCATGATGCTGCACGGCCAGGAAGGCTTTGGTCCTGCCGCAACTCGGCCACAGGCAGGAGGCCGCCGCTCCGAGGGGTTTCCCCTCTCGCACCCGCCCTTACCCATGTGCCCCTTCCAATCAGGCTCCTCTAGGAGCCGTGTGTCCCAGTGTCCCAGGCTCTCTGTCCCCTGGGAACACAGGCCTGCGGTTGAGCCTCAGTTTCTTTGCCAACTTTGGGATCAGACCAGACAGACTCGACCACGGCGCTCTGCCCAGACTTTCTCTGCCGCAGACTCCCCCACTCTGTTTCTGAAGGGGCAGCTTGGGGACTCGGTGCCCTGTGAGGGCCTGCCCAGAGGACCTCCCCCCCACCCCGTGTTTTCAGACCCCCAGGCGAGAAGCCAGGCAGCCAACATTTGCGCTGCGTTCGGGCCCCCCCCCCCCCCCGCCACCCATTCCTCCGCCCCAGAACTTAGCACCAGACCTGCTCTAAGTGGTAGGTAGATGTGTGAGGGGCTTAAAGTAACCTTATTGATGAGTTCTTTGTGCTGGGATATTGATGTGAGTTTTCAGAGAAACTTTTAGGTAAATGATCCGGACAATTTCGCCGCCACCTCACCCTGTGTTTTGGCTCAGTGAGATTTGAGTTTATTTTAATCAGGGTTTTCTGTTTGCATGTTTTTGCGGGGTTTGGAGGGTCCCCGGGCCGACCAGTGGGCAGTCGGGCGCAGGGCCTCCTGGCAGGGATGCTGCTTGGGTTGTTCACGCCTTCCAGGGCCGGCTGGTGCCCCTTACCATGTTGTCAGCCGGCATCAGGGATGGGGCCAGCAGAGGACAGACTCTCCTCTCTCCTGTGCCCTGGGTCTCTCGGTCACAGATCCCTAAGGGGGAGCCAAGACCGAACCTGGAAGCTGCCGAGGAGAAAAGCGTTCCTCCCTGGTCACTTACCTGAGAGAGCTGTGACCTCTCACGTGAACCCCCAAGAGGTGACTCTCTGGCCTTGAGCTGAGGCTGGCTGGTGGGAGTGGAGGCGCAGGACCGCGTGGGTTCCTGAGTGTCCCAGACCCACACGAGGCGGGACTGGATGTGAAGGTGTGGGGGCCAGGGAGACAGGACTGGGGATCACCGCACCTCTTGGGTGAAGCACAGCTCCCCGGCCACAGCCCACGCTCAAGGCTTACCCTCTGGGCCACCCCCTTGGCAGCTAAAGCATGCCTGGGTTTGCCGCACAGTCAGTCGCATGGCCACTGTCCTGCCTGGTTCCCTCTGGACTGACCCCCAGCCCTGACTGAGTGGGGACAGGTCTCCTGACCCAGACAGCCCCACCCACGGCTGTCTCTGGGTCTTCTTCCTGCTTGTGTTTCTGGCAGTCTGTCTCTGTACCCTGCTCAGAATCTCGAAGTCAAGAAACAACTGCACACACACACACACACACACACACACACACACACACACACACACACACACGGATGGGGAGGCAGGGGCAGGGGGAGGTGCCACCCTTAATTCCCCAAACAGGCTGAACCTGGTGAGGGCTTCCGTGAGTTCTGGTAAGCTTTAGGTTTCACTTTTAACTGCTCCAGTGAGTTTACACAAAGTTTGTGTTTGGGGAACCTTCACCTAGAATTGTTGGGAGGTGTTGTAGACTGGCCCGGACCCTGCCTACAGAGTGTCATTTCCATGGGAAAATTCTTGCTCTGGCAGCCGGCTGCCAAGTGCCCTCATGGAAACTGCGGGTCTGTGGCACATATGCCCGCGGTGAGTGAGAAAAGAGGCCAGGGCCCACAGCTCGGGAGGCGGGGCCAAGGGTGCAGCCTCATGCCTGCCGCCCTGGGGTTGACCCTGGCCAGAGTCAGAACAGAAGGGGCGGCCGGCAGAAGCCCTGCCAGGTGGGCGGGCAGGAGATGTGGGTGCAGGTGCAAGACTGCTCTCGGCTTGGTGTTGGGGCCCCCCAAGGCCGGTGCCCGTGTCCTGATGCCCTAGGAAGGAAGGGGGTGCCCTGGGGGTGGGCAGCACAGGGTTGTTTCTGGTTACTATTGACTGAACAGGGACCCCCATGCCGTTCAAAGGTCAGGGCTGGGAGTCCAGGAGTTGGGATTGACTCAGGGATGAATATGGCCACACGTGTCGGGATTCAAGAAAACTTTGGAATCGGTGCTTCCCCCTGCCCTCTAGAAGAGGCCAGAGATTCGTGGTGTTTCTTGGCAGCCTCCCTTCCCTCCTTCCCTCCTTTCCCTCCCCATCCCTCCCTCCCCCCATCCCTGCCTGCCTTCTTTCAGTGTGTCTGTTTGGCTTTTGGGCCGCTCCCATCTGTACTGGAGTGTGTGTGTGTGTGTGTGTGTGTGTGTGTGTGTGTGTGTGTGTGTGTGTGTGTGTACACAGGGTTGTTTCTGGTTACTATTGACTGGACAGGGACCCCCATGCCTTTCAAAGGTCAGGGCCGGGAGTCAAGGGCTGACGTCCCTCCTGTCTGTGCTGCAGCCCCTGCAGCTGCCCGGGAGACCAGTGGTGCTGGGGGGGTGGAGCAGCCCCCACATACAGCATGTGCTCCTGGCCCTGAGAATCTCTTCCTGGTCAGGAGCAGGAACCGATGAGCGTGTGTTCTCGGGATACTGAGGCTGAAGGGGTTTCCGTCTCCTCCCTGAATCGGAGCCTGGGGTTCAGTCCTCTGAAGCAGAGCAGAGGGTGTCTTAGACTTGGGGTGACCTGTGGCGAGCAACTCAGACCCCTTCATCTTCCACGCGTGGCTGTAAGCCTGAAGCAAGGCCAGCATCGCCTGCCCCGTCCCCCAGGGCCCCTGTACCGCTCCCCCCTCAGTCTCTCTCATCCCCGCCCCATCACCAGGGTGAGGGTTGCTGGGCGGACCCCAAGGCCCAGCTGCCTTGGGTCTCCCGGATCGTCCCTTCAAGTCTCCGTCCCCTGCACAGAGGCCAGGCTGGCCCCTGGAGCCTTCATTTCTCCCTCCTCTCCCTCGAAGCCTGGACATGATTATCTGTAACGCCCCATGAGGGTGGGCGTGTGGGCAGGGCCTCCTGGCCTCCGCTCCGCCCTGCTGGTGCACCCCTCGCCCAGGGGTGTGGCTGGGCAGCGGGCCGAATGCAGGGGTCATAGGCCCCGTGATGGGTGAAGAGGGGTAAAAAGAACCCAGAAGTCTGCCCCTGCTTCAGCGTCTGCGGTGGTCTGTCCGGTTAGAGACGGCAGTTGCTGCTGGGAAGCTCACACCGAGGAAGTAAATCCCCCGACCTCAGACTCTGCACAGGGGCTACTTGGGAGCCTCATAGCGGAGGGTAGGAAGCGAAAACCCCAGAACCTAAAAAAGAAAGTGCTGAGTAGCAAGAGAAAGCAAGCAGGAGAAGGGTGTGGAGCACGGACGGTGCGGCTCGGAAAGATGGGGCTGGAATGTGCCTCGCCGCGCGAGGGGCTGACGGGGGCGTCTCCCGCCTGGGCTCCCCCTGGGTCAGGCCCGCAGGCCGCTGCTGCTCCTGGGATTTCACTGTCCCCTCCCGGGTGACGGCAGGGCCAGGAAGGACAGCGGCTCACCGAGGCAGGGCGGCAGCAGCTATTTGTGTTGGGCCTCTTAATGGAACGAACATCTCTGAATGCAACAGAGTTATGTGTACCTTGTGGCTCATGCAAAGCTCACCGCTGTGTGGCAGGTCAGGGGCTGAGCCAGGGGAATGCCCAAACCCAAGCGCTCGGGGTCCCCAGCGCCCAAGTTCTCCTTCGTGTTCTCTCCACTGCTGTCTGTCCGTTGGGGAAGGTGCGCTACGTGTAACCACAGACAGTAACTCTTAATGCCAGCACCAGCGGCTAGCTGGGCAGGGAGCTGCCCGGACGCCTGTCCGAGCTCGTCCCGGGACACAGCCGGTGGGGCCTGCGCTGTGCCGTCATTCGCGTCGTGTTCTCCTCTGTGATGCGGCCAGAATAGCCATCTCTGAGATTTTCCTGGGAGGATGGTCTCGGGCAGCCTATAAACCCCACAGAGAGGGTGGCCAGGTGGCAGGAAGTGGCGGCTCAGCTCTTGGGAGCAGCCCATCTGGAGCTGCACACTGAGAGAGCGCACAGGCCCTTGCAGTCAGTGCCCACGCTTGCCCGGAGCACTCTGGCCGGAGTAGGCAAACAGGTGCCAAAGATGCCTCAGGGGTCCTGTCCTCAGCGCTGCCGCTCCCAGCTGGGGGTCACTCCCTTTCTTGGTGGCTAAGGCAGCTATTTGTGTTGGGCCTGTGCAGGTCACCGAGGGAAAGATGAGCGGGAAAGTCTCCCGGCACCTTCCTGGGGCAACAGAGCCCGCCTGGGGAAGGGGCTGTGTGCCCTGGGGTGAGGCACTAGCTCCCTGCCTGCAGAGAGGAGTCAGGAGAGAATGCCCCTGACAGCAGGGTCTCAGCTTGAGACAACCACCTCTAGGGGGTGGGGAGTGGGGTGCGTCTGGGCCTCTGCAGGGCCTGGGGTCACTCTCTCAGGGCTCAGGGTCACTCCCACAGGTGCCAGGGTCACTCCCTCAGGGCCAAGGTCACTCCCTCAGGGCCAGGGTCACTCCCTCAGGGCCCAGGGTCACCCCCTCAGGGTCCAGGATTATTCCCACAAGGCTCGGGTCACTCCTGTAAGACCCAGGGTCACTCCCTCAGGGCCAGGGTCCTTCCTGCAGAACCCAGGGTCACTCCCACAGGGGTGCTGCTTCCGGGGTGCTTGGAAGGGTTCGTACTGGCCGCCTCCAGGCTTGTCCCCCTCTCCCCCTCACTGTTGGCCTGGCAGTGTTTCTTTCTCGCTGTGGAATGCTGGGTTTTGGGCCCCTGTTGGCAGCTGCCAGCTGGCGTTTCCTGCCTCTCAGGGTTAGTTGTGAGGTTCCTGGGATGCCTTTTTGGTGTCGCTCCTGACGGCACAGCTTGCCCAGCCTCCAGAGGCGTTCCCCCACCCACCCACCCACCAAGTTACTGGGGATGGTCTGTTGGGTTTGTCTCTGGCCGCGGTTTCTCCCTGTGCTGTGCTTTGGGGCAGAGGAAGCGTGGACGGGCATCCAGGCGCTCAGCCCAGCTTTGTCTCGTTTCTGAGAGGCTAAAGCACAGTCTGCTCTGCTTGCTGGGCCCGTTTCGTAGAAAGGAAAGTCGAGGAAAATACAGCATTGAAAATGGGGCCTGAAAATGGCCCCTTGCAGCTCGCTGCCCTTCCTTTGGATTGTCCTGCTTAGGGCTAGAGGGTCCTGACGTGGGTAGGGTCCCCCCCTAGCATTCCAGCCATGGCCCCAAATGATGTTTCTCATCAGGCAAATAACCGAAGCAGGAGGGGGGCCTGGTGCGGCTAGTCTCAGAGCTGGCCTGGAGCATGCCCAGACCCCTTGGGTCCAGAGTGCCAGTTCACTGCTGCAGCTGGCCCCGGGCAGCTGGAGCCTCCTGTCCCCTGGGGGCCACTCCCGGGAGCCCCGACGATAGAGTGGTTGGAAATGGCGCCCGAGGGAAGGGGGGGCATCTTACTGGGGAGACCCCGAGGGGGCTGCAGTCTCGGGGCAGTCAGGGCACTGGTCCTGGGGCGCGAAGGAGCGGGCAGATGGCCAGGGACCCTGGCAGGGGCTTGCACTTGACCTGGAGGATAATAGAGACCTACTGAGAGGGAGTGTGTGGAAGAGGTTTGGGACATTCAGATCACTGCATTCTCCCAGCCCGCCCCCCCACCACCACCGTTTTTGACCCAGCCCCCTTCATGGTGCCCTCACAGGGCCACCTAGAACTTCCCCCACCACAGCAGAGTCAGGGTGCTGGCCGTGCCCTCGGCTGACCCGAAGCTCCATCTCCTAACTGTCTGGCTCCCTGAGCCCCAACAGGAGTCATCCCTGAGCATAGCCAGCTGTGGCTCAGAAACATTCCCCAGCAAAGTAGAACAAGATTTTCTTTGTGTGTGTGTGTGTGTGTGTGTGTGTGTGTGTTTGTTTATTATTATTTTTATTAATTCACCATCGATTTGCTCGAGCGGGCCCAGTAACGTCTCCATTGGAGACTTTGTTGTTACTGTGTTTGGCATATCGAATATGTCACGGGGAGCTTGCCAGGGAGAGATACTCTCGGTAACTTGCCGGGCTCTCCGAGAGGGGTGGAGGAATCGAACTCGGGTCGGCCATGTTGGCTGCGTGCAAGGCAAACGCCCTACCGCTGTGCTATCGCTCTAGCCCATCGAGCAAATTGAGCAATTCGAGCAATTCACCATGAAGTACAGTAACAAAACTTTCATGTTTGAGTTTCGATCATACAGTCATCGAACACCCATCCCTTCACCAGTGCACGCTTTCCACCACCAAAATCCCAGTATTCCCCCCACATACACACACACACACACACACACACACGCACACGCACACACGCACACGCCATTCCACACCTCCCCCTGCCTTTGTGGCAGAGAATTTGCAAAATACTCTGTCCCTACTTTGGTTACCTTCGATATTTTGAGACCAGTCTTACCACCCCTCCTACCAGCCAAAAATACAATGCTTGACAATGTCTTTTGTATTGCTTGTTATGGATATAATATAGTGTCGCGTGACTGCAAGAGCGACCGCGTGCTCTAGGAATTCTAAAATTTTAATACTTAGGGTCTGAAGAGGTCGCTGCAGCAAGTTGCTCGGATCCAAGGTTCATTTGTGTGTCTCTGGGTCAAGGCCATGTGGGAGCTAAAGTAGACAGTAGGCATCATCTCGGCGTCCCATTGGGGCAGGGGAAAGGAGAAGGGCCCACTCCTCCCTTGTCCTGCAAAACTTGGGATTTGCAATTATCTCGACTCATCCTGGAGCTTGTCACTGACTTCTAGAAAATGGTGGCCGCCAGAGCTTCTGGAGGGTAGGCGGAGGGACAACACCCTCCCCCATCTGGAGCAGCCCAGTGGAGAAGGCCTATTGCAAAGTCCTGGGCCATCTCTGCCACAGGTTGCTTGGGTCTTAGATTTCTTTGTGTGTCCAGAACAAGGATTTCTTCCTCTTTCTTCTCTGTGAGCCAGTCTTGGGAACCGCTGCAGCCTGGCTGGGAGTCCCTTCCTCCCGAACAGCTCCAGAAGCCCTGTGAGCTACTCACCCGTGGAAGCTGGCAGGGGCAGCCGGCCCACACCTTTGGGGACAGCTGGGTTCCTTTTCCTCGGAGCCGGGGCTTCTGGCTCGGCCGTAGGCTGTGTGGCTGCCAGCCAGGCTCCCCCGCAGCTCCCGCCTCAGCCGGCACCTGCTTCTGGCGCCCCCCGGGCAGCCTGTCACCGTGCGCCCACTCACTCCTCCCCTCTGCTCCGCTCCAGCCCAAGCCCACCAAGGGCCGCATGCGCATCCACTGCCTGGAGAACGTGGATAAGGCCCTGCAGTTTCTGAAGGAGCAGAGAGTCCACCTCGAGAACATGGGGTCCCACGACATCGTGGACGGGAACCACCGGCTCACGCTGGGCCTCATCTGGACCATCATCCTGCGCTTCCAGGTAAGGGGTCCGGGGCAGCCCAGAGCCGCAGCGGAGAGCAGTCCGCAGCCAGGTGGGGTTGGGACATCAGTGCAGGCTGCGTCCTGCCTTGAGGGGAGGATGTTTCCAGAGGGGGAGGTAGAGCAGGGAATGGACAGTGGCCACGCGGTGTGTCCGCCTGAGGGGCTTTCACCTCGCAGGAGCAGAAGCAGGAGCCAGGTAGGGTCAGCTGTGTCCACTGCTCCGCGGCCCCCAGGAGCTGCCCGGTGCCCCAGGTCTCCACCTCCAGACTGGTTTCTGGCCCTTTCTCCAGGCGCCTGCAGCAAAGCATTTCAGGCTCCTGCTTTCCCATTAAAATAAAAATAAAATGCACAGGGACCTCTTCTCTGCCCGGTGTCAGGTGGGTTACTACCCTCTGCACCCTTCAGTTCTGCCCCCATGATAAAGCCTGGTGGATTTTTTTCCTGGGTAAATGAAAAATCTCGACCATAGTGGGTAGCACTCTGGCACTGTCCTCCTATTGTTCATCGATTTGCTCAAGTGGGCACCAGTAATGTCTCCTTTGGGAGACTTATTACTGGGGTTTTTTTTGGCATGTTGAATATGCCACAGGGAACTTGACAGGCTTTGCCGTATGGGCAGGATACACTAGGTAACTTGCCAGGCTCTCCGAGAGGGACCCAAGGAATCGAACCTGGGTCGACCGTGAGCAAGGCAAACACCCTCCCCACTGTGCTATGGTTCCAGTCCATAGGGGTAAACAGAAACAAAATCATCACCCTTTTCTGCTTTTTCCTAAGGCTCTTCCGACTCCTTTGGGAAAGGATTGGTGTGTGTGTGTGTGTGTGTGTGTGTGTGTGTGTGTGTGTGTGTGTGTAATTCAGGTTCCCGGGTCCCAGCCCCATGGTTCCAATTAAGCAGTTGTGAGTAGGGAACCGCCATTAAAGATGAGGCAGGCATTAGTGTGGTCTCTGAGACCAGCAGGTACTTGTAAACACCCTCTCTGGGTGTCTGCCATGCAGTTCCTGAATGATTCAAAGTTGGGAATCAGTACTCCAGAAATTGTTCAGTGTTGCTCATGGGTACTAGAGCAGCAGAGGTGAGATTAGCAGGCCACTCTGGAGCCTCTTGTCGGCTTTGTAGAGTGAAATGTTCCAGTTCAATTGCCCCGGTAGGGATCAGAGCGTGGAAGGACTTTCCGAGGCCTCTTGCCAGCGGGCCAGTGCCCGGCTCGCAAAGCTGCTACATGCAGCCTTCCCTGGGCTTCTCAGCACGGGCTGGGCCGAGGCCCTGACTGCTTGGCTTCCCAACAGCCTGTGGTTCTCTGTTCTTGAAACCGAAACTCCAAAATGGACTTTGACCCTGGCCCTGGAAGCAAGTGTCCCCACCTGTCTGGAGCTTCGGCTCCTCCAGGAAATTCTTATCTGCTCAACTAACTGCTTGGTTCCTTATCCGCCCAGGCCACCTCACACTCTGCCTCCTGCACAGCCCTACGCACAGCCCTCCACTGTCCACTGTAATGGTGCTGCCTCCCACCCCCAGCTGAGGCATGTGGTCCTGTCCCCACATCCCCAGCATCCCTGTTGGGTGTGTGGTCCCTGGCTCTCCCAGCAGAGGCCCTGATCTGAGCAACCATACACTTACACGTGTGTGTACAGGTTTTACCTGCTGTCTCTCTAAAAGACCGTGGACGATGGTGTGGGAAGGCGGAGTGAAAGCCTTGCCTTGCTTCTGTAGGATGGACGGTTTCTAGAGTGCGGGATAAGCTGGTGGCCATGCCGGTGCCGGTCAGGAGTTTGGAAGTCAAGAACCAAAATTTTAATGCCTGGAGTAACAGTACTCTAGAGCAGTGTTTCTCAGCCAGAATTCCTGGAGGTGTAGAAATAATACGTAAGCATCTCATAAAAGCTAATTCCAGATCCTTTGAGTAAAGAATATTTGGTTATGAAAAACAAACTGGATGTTTTTTTCTGGACTCTGGAGAGGTTCAAGGCGTCCTGTGCTGTGGGAATCACTGTGCCAACTTGTGGGCAGGAAGACGGATTAGTTGGGGGCTAGAAATCACCCCGGTAGGTGATAGAAAGTAGGGCAAGTCACTGGTCCACCCTTCACCTCCCGCCCGAGTGGGCAGCTGGGACCCCTGCCCCTGCCAGCCTGCTCCCTGACCATCACCATGGCTGCCAACAGCTCTACCGTTTCTCTGTGAACCTTAGATCCAAGATATCAGTGTCGAAACCGAAGACAACAAGGAGAAGAAATCCGCCAAGGATGCGCTCCTCCTGTGGTGCCAGATGAAGACAGCTGGGTGAGCCCGCACAGGAAGGGATGCACTGGGCTGCCGGGCACCCGCTCAGGGTGGGGGCTCCCTGGGCAGCGGGATGCAGGGGGATGCGCCCGCTCAGGGCGGGGACTCACTGGGCAGCAGGGAGCAGGGGGAGCCCACTCAGGGTGGGGGGCTCCCTGGGCAGTGGGGTGTAGGAGGAGGCGCCCGCTCAGGGCGGGGGGCTCACTGGGCAGCAGGGTGAGGGGGAGGGTACCCGCTCAGGGCGGGGGCTGCTGCTCCCAGTGGACCTGCTGCAGCCGTCACTGAGAGGCATCACCGTGTCCTCCCCAGCTGGAAGATGCCACCCACTGCCCTTTCAGCTGGGAGTTGTTCTGGATCCTGTTCTGACCCTGTCACCACCACACTTAGGGTCCTTGCCTTTACCACCCCTCCCAAAAAAGCAAGCTACTTGGATTTCAAACTCTAAAACCAATTTTAGAAAACAACAATGGTCATTAAATTGATGCTTTTCTTTTTTATTTTTTTTTAATTTCTGCAGCTTTGGGGATCTATGAGTAATGTTTATGCATTTCACTTCTCCATCCACTTACTCTTACTTTGAAAATTATCTACCTTTTAGAACAATAGTTTTTTTTTTTTTTGGTTGGTTGGTTTTTTTGGCTTTTTTGGGTCACACCTGGCGATGCACAGGGGTTACTCCTGGCTCTGCACTCAGGAATTACTCTTGGTGGTGCTCTGGGGACCATATGGGATGCCGGGGATTGAACCAAGGTTGGCCGCCTGGAAGGCAAATGCCCTACCCACTGTGCTATCACTCTGGCAGAATGGTGGTTTTTTAAAAATTTTTTTAATTTAATTTATTTATTTTGCTTTTTGGGTCACACCAGGCGATGCTCAGGGTTACTCCTGGCTCTGCACTCAGGAATTACTCCTGGCAGTGCTCGGGAGACCATATGGGATGCTGGGAATTAAACCCGGTCGGCCGCGTGCAAGGCAAACGCCCTGCCTGCTATGCTATCACTCCAACCCCCAGAATGGTGGTTTTTAATGAACCTTTTCATGCCTGCAGACTGGTGAAATAGGAGAAATATTTCACCAGTGACCAAGGCAGAAATTTTAAATAGCATTTGTATTATGCTCTTAAGATCAAACATCGTAACATGAAAACCATATGTTCAGGTGGTAGTAACTTGTTCATAGACAAAAATGCTCATGAATTTGCATCTTGTCTTGGGACCGGAATGAAAACTCACTGCCTTGGGGTGAAAAATAAAGCTGTGCAGCCTGAGCTTTGCACATGTAGCCCTGGGCTTGTTGCGGGCATGGCCAGGGGCAGCCCCAGCCCCGCCAGACGACCCCAAGCAAGATCCCTGTTGGAGCAGAGCTCATGAGACCACGCTTTGAGACACTTTGGGCTCTAGAACTTTTCGAGCAGCCCCTTTTCACCCAAATTTTATATGATCCCAGGGATATAAAATAGACGTCTACAAAACAAACGTTTGCTGATGGAAAATACAAATCCATTTGCCAGAAATGTTTTAGGTAGGTGGAGGCCAGGGTCCAGAGCAGGGATGGGAGTGTTTGCCTTCCTTACAGCTGACCGGGCTAGTCCCTGGCACCTGGGCCTCACGCCTCCAGCACTGGCCAAATTGGCTAAACTCCGACCTCCTCGGAAGGACATGTGACCCTTGTGGGGTCGTGACCCGCGTTTAAGGAGCAAGGGGCATCCTCACGAGCATTGTGGGGCTCCTGGCAGACAAGGTGGGGGGCTTGCTGGGCACAACCTGGATGGTGGGCAGAAGTGTGGTGGCCACATGGTCAGTGCTGGGTCTGGAAACCAAAGTCTGGCCTAGCAGGTGGGGAGCTGATGGTGTTGGAGGGGCAGCTTGAGCAGATCAGGCCTGCTGGTCTCGAGATGTCAACAGAAGCCACAGGCCTGCTGGCCCTCTTGGCGGCATCCACTGGTTTCACTTAGTGAGAGGCCGTTTGGGGTCTCAGGTTCAGGTGGCATCTTCTGTCTGAATTCCCAAGGAAGGGAAGCCAAGCCGCATGAATGTTGTTTTCCAGCAGGCTGAGGTTGGTGTGTACCTGCGGCTTGATTGTCGTCTCTGATACTCGCCGTCATGGCCTTTTACGGGGCTCAGGGGCATTTTATTTCAGCCTCCATAGAACAGAGAATGAACCCATAGTGATGGTGCTGCTTTGCTCTGACAGGTACCCCAACGTCAACATCCACAACTTCACCACGAGCTGGCGGGATGGCATGGCCTTCAATGCCCTGATCCACAAGCACCGGTGAGTCCGACCCACCGGTGTGCCATGACATCTGACCCCACGCCCTTGTCAGGAAATTATGAATCTGGGTGAGGGAAATATGAGGGAGGGTGTAAACCCCTCCCCAAACATCTGGCTTTATCTGCAGGTCTCTTAGTGTCCATTCAATAATCGGACTTCATTCTTTGACGGTTAAATAATACTACAGAGTTCCGCTCCCCTACTTGGTGATTTTTCTAATGTTTTTTTTTGAGTAATGTTCATGCCATCCTTGATGACTTGGTTTTGTTTTCAAGCCGTAGTCTTTATCATGTTCCACTCTTGCTTTGCATAGGCCAGACCTGATAGATTTCGACAAGCTGAAGAAATCCAACGCACACTACAATCTCCAGAATGCATTCAACCTGGCCGAGCAGCACCTGGGGCTCACCAAACTGCTGGACCCTGAGGGTGAGGGCCTGGGAGGCTCAAGGGATGAGGGGTTCCTCTGAGATCTGCGGGTGACTGTTGGTTTCCCAAGCTGGGGCTCTGGGGATTCTCTAGGGGAGAGGAGCTTGGTTGTGGTGCGGGGGTCACTTCAGGGTTGGTTCAGAGGGCTCCGCAGGCCATGAAGGCAAGTGTGATTCGCCCTTTCTGAAGGAGGGGCTCGGAGGCTGGCGAAGGGGCACACAGCCCTATTGGTGCCGCGTTTGGGCTACAACGGAGAGTGCCACCAGAGGCAGGATGGGCCGGGTCGGGTCAAACCTGGAGGAGTTATTCAGCGGGCGGGAGGGAGTCACTCAGGATTCTTGGCTAGGATCGAGGAATCGGCCATGGCGAGACTGTGGGCGAGTGATTGTCAGCTGTCGTCCAAAGCAGGGGCACAAGCGGCAGGTTTCAGGGGTGGGTTGGAGGCAGATGTCTTCCTGGGGCCTTCGCCGTGTTTGCTCGTGTCAAAGGTGAGCTCCAGTGAGTCAGCCCCGTTGGGAAAGGGGGCCTGCTCGAAGCATCACATCCCATCCGCCTGGAACGGCCTCCGAGGGCTGCAGGCACCGCAGGGCCTATGGGGAGGTCCCTGCTTGATGAAACCCCAATTTCCAGCTGTGTTTCCGTAGGAGCGGTCCTGGACGCTTCGTCTAATTTGGGGAAGCGTTGAAAATATAAGAGGATTTGCTTTTAGTCCAGGAGCTTTGTTCATCCTCTTACTTGTGAGGAAAAGTTGGGGAGAACACTGCATGTGAGTCAAAGTTTAAAGTTCTTTTAAATATAGAACAGGAAGCTTAACTCCCAAGGGCAGCTTGAGGTCAGGAAGCCCCGAGCACCCTCTGCTGTTTTCCAGGTCATCAGATTCACTGATACGCTCGCTACAGGAAGCGAGACAAAATTAACTTTGTCTTAACCCATTAAATGATTTCCCGGTATAAACATAAAAGTAAAATCCCTTAGCTTTGAGATCAGTCTTCTTATCTCACCCCTGCCTTACTGCAGGAAGGAGTTATTTCGTAGCCCTTAACTTCTGTGCTTGGGTAAAGAATTTCTTTTTCCCTTTCATGATGGCCAGCAGAATTTGCCCAGCAATGTGCTCATGACTCTCCCTAATCAGAACCCACTGCAAAAAGTAAATTGACGTCCCGCGCATTACTAGCTGAAAAAGAGTCCACTGGCATTACTCACCTGGTGGGTTTGATTATTATTTCTCCTTAGCTGTTCTTGGCCGTCCACTGCCCCAGAAAGCATTAGCTGAAACACACTTATAGGTGGGTTCAAAGGAAGAGGGTCATGCCTGGGCCGCCCAGCAAGAGAGCTTGCTGGTGCACAGCTCTTGGTCCCGCACGGCGGTCTCGGCCCGGAAGCAGCCTCAAGGGAAAAACCTGACTGCTGTTGCTTCTCGGGCTGACCGCATGCAGGAGCAGTATTCCCCCTCTGCCCTCAGGCTCTTTCTGAGCACTTTCCTGAGCTGAACAGTAGGAATTGGCCTGGGGGGCCCTAGGCCGTGGTCCGTGTCTGCCTTATGACACCTGTAGGCATCTGTCAGCACAGCACCTGGACGAACTGAAGTCCTGCTCTAGTATTCCTGCTGAAATGCCACCTCCTCGGTTCCTGATAAGGTCACAGCTTGGGTGATAACAGTAGGGGCCACGCCAGGGTCTGTGCTCAGGAGTCAGTTTGGGGGTCTCCGTGGTGCTGAGCGCCCAGGCAGGGCAGTGCCCACGCCCACAAACCTTTGCCCTCACCGCTGTCTCTGTGAAACTCAGACAGTGAAGGAGCCCCAGGGCGTGGGGGGGTTCTTGCCCAACGCCTCCCCCAGCAGACACCAGAGCATGACAGCAGGTGGGAACCGAGAAGAGGCCTCCTGACACATCTCCTCTGCGTTGCAGACATCAGCGTGGACCACCCCGACGAGAAGTCCATCATCACCTATGTGGTGACCTACTACCACTACTTCTCCAAGATGAAGGCCCTGGCCGTGGAGGGGAAGCGAATCGGGAAGGTGAGCGGCTGGGGTGTCTGAGTGGGTGCTGCTGCTGCATCCCCCAGAAGACCAAGAACTGGGAAGGGTGGCCAGGATACTGAGGAATGTGCAGGAAGGGATATGCAGGAGCACCTCCCTGCTACCTCTTACAAGAAAATCAAATTGAAAATCCCATTGAGTTGTCTAACGTCAGAGGCGCCCAGCCCTACTCAGCACAGGGGACGGGCCCAGTAGAATGCCTTTTATTTCTTGTTTGGCTACTATTTGTATTTTTCTAACACCTCAGACCACGTGGCATTGTCTTCTCGAGATTGTGGAATAGACAGTTCTTGGGCATTCGTGGAGTCCCGGGACAAGATCATGTGAAAGAAGGCGCCCCGGCTTCTCTAAGCTCAGAGGCTTCATTTAGACTGGGGGTTGTTGCCCAGCTCAGCGGGTTAGACCTGCCTTTGCCACAGTGTGAGGGCCTGTCCCTCAAGTGTGCAGTGCTTGTGCTCTGTGGTTAAGTGCTTGTGTTTCTGTGGGGTTGCTGTCCTGTTTTCCTTTCATGGCGATATGACTTTCCTTTCCTGTTTTCCTCTCTAATTAATGCACAGGTGCTCGACAATGCTATTGAAACAGAGAAAATGATTGAGAAGTACGAGTCACTTGCCTCTGACCTTCTGGAATGGATCGAACAAACTATCATCATTTTAAACAATCGCAAATTTGCCAACTCTTTGGTGGGAGTCCAGCAGCAACTCCAGGCCTTCAACACGTACCGCACTGTGGAGAAGCCCCCCAAGTAAGCCGCGGGCGCCCGGCCACGTGACCTGTGCCCCTCAGCAGTGGCCCTTGCTTAAGTCCTTCCCAGCACAGATGTGCCACTGGCAGATGAGGCCGAGAAGTTTCCAGAGCCCTGTTTCAACGCCCTTGTGCGACACATTTCACACTTTCCTCCCTGTTTCAGAGAGTGGGCCCAGGCTGATGGTCTCATGTCAGTCTGGGTCAGGCTGTCCCTCCAGCCAGGCTTTTCATATCTTTCAAAAAATGCATCAATGCTGAGTAATCTCAGAATCTTATCTCTCTATTATTCAAGTTCGGAAGTCCTTCGTCCAAATTTCTAAAATCTCCCTTCCGCCATGAATCCCTTCCTGAGGCTTCTGATAGTTATGATGGGTAGAAACTTCATCCTGGTCGGAGGCCTTCAGCTGTCTTCTCTGAGCGAAGCATGCCAGGAGTCCAGGACTAATAGTAGGAACCGCGGATAAGGAACCTTTTTCCTGCAAAGGGCCATTTCGAAATTCATAACGTAGTTGGCGAAGCCATACCGTGCAGGCTGACAGGCCAAGAAGTGTCTGTCCCTTGTGTCCCTGGGCCAGAGTCCACGATTGCCTGGACCTGACCCCATGAGCAGGGCTTCCCTGGTCAGGGCCCCAGACCCTGCCGAGGGTGACCCGGGCAGCAGTGTGTGCCTGGAGCGCTGGCCCAGACACAGCCTTGGGCAGGCAGAGATCCACTCAGCGCTTCTCTAACAAACACGGCATAGACCCGGAGCTCAATGTCGAAATTGCCTGAGTCTGTGAATCTCTCCTCCAGAAGCCGCTGAGTCCTTCTCCTGAAGGAGCGTGATAGAGCGAGTAACGTGTGCCCGCCCCTCCCCCGCAGGTTCACCGAGAAGGGAAACCTGGAGGTGTTGCTCTTCACCATCCAGAGCAAGATGCGGGCCAACAACCAGAAGGTCTACATGCCCCGGGAGGGGAAGCTCATCTCTGACATCAACAAGGTATGGCCACTTGGTGCCCAGTGGCGGCCACGCGGGGATTCCTGGCTGCTTTCCTCACCCTGACGTGCATCTGGAGTCCCAGGGCTGCTTGTTGACGCTCTCTGGCTCCTCCAGCGGAACCTGCTGCGTCTCCAATCAGAGGCCATTGCGGCGGGTGTTCGTCGAGCACTAGACTTATCTGCGCGATACTTTCAGGGGCTTTTACGCTCCCTGTGAGACATGGTGAATGTCACAGAGGCGGAATCTAAATCTAATGGGGATGACCTGTTCGGGCCTGGGGTCGGAGGGGGAGTGCCGTGCTGGGCGTCCGGCGCAAGGGCAGGGAGTGAAGCGTCCCCGCGGCATCCTCCGGAGAGGGGGACGGCTGCCCTGTGTCTGGCTGTTGATGAGACTCCGTTTGCCTCCACCAGGCCTGGGAGCGACTGGAAAAAGCCGAACACGAACGCGAACTGGCCCTGCGGAATGAGCTCATCCGGCAGGAGAAACTGGAACAGCTCGCACGCAGATTCGACCGCAAAGCGGCCATGCGGGAGACGTGGCTGAGTGAGAACCAGCGGCTGGTGTCTCAGGTCCGCTCCCCTGGGAGAACCTGTGGGGGCTGGGGATGCGCAGGGGGCCTGCGGGAGCTCCCCCCGCCCCAGGGATGCTGGCCTTTCTCCCCGTCCCCGCTGGCCCTTCCCTCCCCTGTCCCCGCTGGCCCTGTCTCCTTCCCGATGAGACGCTGCTTTGCTTTCTTTGCCTTGTTGGACGTGCCTTTCCTCCGTTCCTCCGTAGGACAACTTTGGATTCGACCTTCCCGCCGTGGAGGCGGCCACGAAGAAGCACGAGGCCATCGAGACGGACATCGCCGCCTACGAGGAGCGCGTGCAGGCCGTGGTGGCCGTGGCCCGGGAGCTGGAGGCCGAGAACTACCACGACATCAAGCGCATCACGGCGAGGAAGGACAACGTCATCCGGCTCTGGGAGTACCTGCTGGAGCTGCTGCGGGCACGCCGGCAGCGCCTGGAGATGAACCTGGGGCTGCAGAAGATCTTCCAGGAGATGCTGTACATCATGGACTGGATGGACGAGATGAAGGTGCGGCCACACGCGGGGAGGAGCACTCGCTCAGGCTGGTGGGTGCCGAGGGCTGCCTGAGGGCCGTGGCACCCTGAGGGCTTCTCAGTTTTCAAAGCCAGGGACGTTTCCATATCATCCACTGGTGCGGGAGCGTCTGGTTGGGAGAAGCCCAGGTGGTATGGGGCACAGCAGGGCCAGGAGGCTGGCTGGGCGTCCCAGAGCGATGCTCACCCCCCCCCCCCCCCCCCCCGCCGCCGCCAGTGGCAGTTGCAGTTAGAAGTCGGTGTGTAGCCCATGGACGGGCCTGGGGGGGGGCACCCTGGGGCAGGGCTTGCTGTGGGATCTCCAGAGCTCTGCAGTGTCCCAGCGCCCCCACCCACCTGAGTGTGTGTCCACTCCTGTCCTGGGGCCGGTCATGGGAAGCCCAGTCAAGCCCACCTGGGAGCCGGGAGAGAAGGGCAGTTCCCACTCTGCCCGGGGTTCCCCTTTGTCTCGGGACAAGCTGCTCCTGGCCTCAGCCCGCGACGCCAGGGGTTTCCCAGCCCGTATCTAAGCCATTGGCGTATCTCGTCTCTCGAGCTCTCCCGAGCAGAGTGGCAAGAGGACCGGATAGTGTCGCTTTTCCTTCTTGGTGGTCTCAGTGAGTCTGGGGATGGTCTGTCCTGACTCCCAGAGAGGCAGAGAGTAAAGCAGAGTGCACCCGCCGCCTCCCCCACGGGAGAGGGAAGAAGACAGAGGCTGCCGCGGGCCAAGGGAAGGAACCTGAGAAAGGGCTGATGGGCTCAGACCCAAGCAAGCATGGTGCTCGGCCCTGGCACGAGTCCATGGGCTTGTGTGCGCCCGCCGTACCCCTGCCCCTTCCAGCCCCCTCAGCACCCTCATTCTTGCTGTGTGCCTGGTTCCCCTCCCTCCGCTGTTTTTTTTGTGTGTGTGTCTTTAAACCTTCTGTGCTCTGGGGTGCACGCCTGCCGCCTTCCTCCCGGGAGATGCTCTCGGTCCCTGCTATCACTGTGGCTGTGTCCCACGGGCCCCATGTGTTGCCCCTGGCCCAGGTGCTGCTGCTGTCGCAGGACTTCGGCAAACACTTGCTGGGCGTGGAGGACCTGCTGCAGAAGCACGCCCTGGTCGAGGCCGACATCGGCATCCAGGCGGAGCGCGTGCGGGCTGTCAACGCCTCCGCCCAGAAGTTCGCCGCGGACGGGGAAGGTGAGTGGCTGCTGTGGGGCTGCCCTGGCCCCGGGGCTTTGGGCACCTTGGCCTCCTGGGGTCCGGGCACGTCCATCTCCAGACACTCAGCTGTGCCCGGGGAAGAGCACCAGGGAGGCCAGACTGCCGCGCCCAGTCACGTGTGGTCACAGCCTCGAGTGTGTTGCTGGGCAGGGCTGAGACGGGACTTGGAGGACCTGGTGGTTTCCGGCGTTGGGAAATGTGGTGCTGCCTTCTTCCCCGCGGTTCCATGCATGCTGCCCCCCACCTGGAGTAACCATCCCAGGGGCGCTGTGGAGAGGCTCTCCCCCCACCCCCCTGCGCTCAGCTCTGTCTCCCCTCCATCCCCCCGCTCCCCACAGGCTACAAGCCCTGCGACCCGCAGGTGATCCGGGACCGCGTGGCCCACATGGAGTTCTGCTACCAGGAGCTCTGCCAGCTGGCGGCTGAGCGTCGGGCGCGCCTGGAGGAGTCCCGCCGCCTCTGGAAGTTTTTCTGGGAGATGGCGGAGGAGGAGGGCTGGATCCGCGAGAAGGAGAAGATCCTGTCGTCCGACGACTATGGCCGCGACCTGACCAGCGTGGTGCGGCTGCTCAGCCAGCACCGCGCCTTCGAGGATGAGATGAGCGGCCGCAGCGGCCACCTGGAGCAGGCCATCCGGGAGGGTGAGGCCATGATCACCGAGCAGCACTTCGGCTTCGAGAAGACGCGGGAGCGCATCGCGGACATCCGCGAGCAGTGGGCCAGCCTGGGCCGCCTGGCGGCCGTGCGCAAGCGGCGTCTGGAGGAGGCGCTGCTGCTGCACCAGTTCCAGGCCGACGCCGACGACGTGGATGCCTGGATGCTGGACATCCTCAAGATCGTGTCCAGCAGCGACGTGGGCCACGACGAGTACTCCACGCAGTCGCTGGTGAAGAAGCACAAGGACGTGGCGGAGGAGATCGCCAACTACCGGCCAGCCATTGACGCGCTGCACGAGCAGGCGGGCGCGCTGCCGCCCGAGCACGCCGAGAGCCCCGCGGTCAGGGCCCGGCTGGCTGGCGTCGAGGAGCGCTACAAGGAGGTGGCCGAGCTGACGCGGCTGCGCAAACAGGCCTTGCAGGACACGCTGGCCCTCTACAAGATGTTCAACGAGGCCGACGCCTGCGAGCTCTGGATCGACGAGAAGGAGCAGTGGCTGGACAGCATGCAGATCCCCGAGAAGCTGGAGGACCTGGAGGTCATCCAGCACAGGTGAGGGCGCCGCCCCGGCACTCCCCTGCCCTGCCCGGCCACACCCCTGGCCCCCACCACGCCACGCCCCCCGGAGGCCGGCTCCTTATCGCCCTTTCTGTCTCCGCAGGTTCGAGAGTCTGGAGCCCGAGATGAACAGCCAGGCCTCCCGGGTGGCCGTGGTCAACCAGATCGCCCGGCAGCTGATGCACAGCGGCCACCCGAGTGAGAAGGACATCAAAGCCCAGCAGGACAAACTGAACACGAGGTGCGGGCGGGACCAGCCACGGCCCAGCTCCCCGTCCTGTCCCATCCCATCCCGTTTCCCCCGTCCCCAAGTGAGGTCTCAGGGCGGCGCTTCCTGCTTGGTCGCCGGCATTGTGCCCGTCTTGGGCCCTGGCACCCACCTCTCCGCAGACAGGATCGTGCCAGGAACACGTCCGGGTGGCAGTGTCTGGGCAGCCTCGCCTTGCCCCCAGCAGAAAGTGGGGACGTGCCCCGGGCACTCCTTGGTGGACCTTTGGGACAGGATTCCCCGAGGAGGGTCTTAGCATGACTGAGATGGGACTGGCCAGATGATGTCCCGGTCACCGAGGCCGGTCTTGTCCCCGTCTCACCTGCTGAACGGACACACTAGAGTAGATCATGTGGCCTGCTGACCTCGGTCTCAGAGGTCATCGTGCCAAGCTCTGGGTTCAGGACGTGCCCGTTGGGTGCAGTGAGAGATGAGGAACTGTGTCTGCCAGACATGGCCTGACTTGCTAGCAACCAGGCAGGCGGTCACTACCCATGTGGGCACTCCTGGGGGTGTGTCTTCCAGCGTCCACCTTCTTCCCTGAGGTGACGGATTATCTCGTGTCTCTGAGCTGTTTTCGATGTGTGGTGCCCTCCAGAGCTGGAGGGATGGCACAGTGGGCAGGGCTACTGCCTTGCATGCATCTGACCCATGTTCAGGTTCTATCCCTGGATAGTCAGGAGTCAGTCCTGAGCACCACCAGGAGCTCAAACACAACAAAAGAGTCAAGTAGACCTTTGGGCCAGAGCAATAGTGGGGCAGCAGGGAAGGCGTTTTACCTTGTCCCCAGCGAACCCGGCTTCCAATGACCTCGTCCCCAGCCAACCCGGGTTCCATCCCTGGCGTCCCATAGGGTCCCCCGAGCACCTCCAGGATTGGCTCCTGAGTGCAGAGCCAGGATTCCCTGAGCACCGCCGGGTGCGGCCCCAGAGCAAACAGACAAATCGATATCTGGGCGCACCCCTGCACTGGGTCATTCTCCACAAAGCGTGTGGTCAGAGCGGGGGGAGGGGCTGGCGCTCTCTCCATCCCTCTCTCTAGCAAGCCGTGCTCCTGCCTCTCACGCAGCCCTCTCCGCGCCCTGCTCCCCTCACAGGTGGAGCCAGTTCAGGGAACTGGTCGACCGCAAGAAGGACGCACTTCTCTCTGCTCTGAGCATCCAAAACTACCACCTCGAGTGCAACGAGACCAAGTCCTGGATCCGGGAGAAGACCAAGGTGATTGAGTCCACTCAGGACCTGGGCAACGACCTGGCGGGCGTGATGGCCCTGCAGCGCAAGTTGACCGGCATGGAGCGGGACCTGGTGGCCATCGAGGCGAAACTGAGCGACCTGCAGAAGGAGGCAGAGAAGCTGGAGTCGGAGCACCCGGACCAGGTGCAGGCCATCCTGTCGAGGCTGGCCGAGATCGGCGACGTGTGGGAGGAGATGAAGACCACGCTGCGGAACCGCGAGGCCTCGCTGGGGGAGGCCAGCAAGCTGCAGCAGTTCCTGCGGGACCTGGACGACTTCCAGTCCTGGCTGTCCCGCACGCAGACGGCCATCGCCTCGGAGGACATGCCCAACACACTGGCCGAGGCCGAGAAGCTGCTCACGCAGCACGAGAACATCAAGAACGAGATCGACAACTACGAGGAGGACTACCAGAAGATGCGGGACATGGGTGAGATGGTCACCCAGGGCCAGACGGACGCCCAATACATGTTCCTGCGCCAGCGGCTGCAGGCCCTGGACACGGGCTGGAACGAGCTGCACAGGATGTGGGAGAACAGGCAGAGCCTCCTGTCCCAGTCACACGCCTACCAGCAGTTCCTGCGTGACACGAAGCAGGCTGAGGCCTTCCTCAACAACCAGGTGAGGCGCGGAGGCGGGTCCTGCCTGGTCCTGCCTGTGGCCCCTGTCCCCGCGAAGCATCGTCCTGCTTCGGGGATCTCTGGGGAGCAAGAGTGGAGAGGCGTCAGCCTGGCGTGCATCTGAGCCGTGGTCCAGACTCGGCACTGCCAGGAGTGAGCCCTGAACACTGAGGGATGTGCGCTGCAAAATGATCTACGTGGGGGTCTGGAGAGGGAGGGAGAGAGAAAAAAAGAAGGGGCGAGGGCCTCGCGTGGCAGCCAGCCTGGTTCTGACCCGGCATGTCAGGAGTCACTTCTGAGCACCCTTGGCGAAGCCCAAGTCCCCGAACCAGAAAGAAAGGAATAGGGAGATTCTTTTCCATTCCGGCCTTCCTTTCTGTTTGCTGGCTTTGGGGGCCACGTTTGGGATCCCACGGATCAAACCGGTCTGGCTGCATGCAAGGCGGGCGCCCTCCCCGCCGTGCCCCCTCTCCAGCCGGGTCTGGGGCCTGTTGTGTCATTGACCGAATAGCTGCTTCCCAGGCTCTGGAAGAATGGGAGCTTTACCTGGTGGCACCTGGCAGAAGCCAGAGGAAGTGAGCAGACACCTGCCAGCCCGAACCCTGGCCTCGGGAGACCTCAGAAGGTTTGCTGGCACTGCCTGGAGGCCTGTGGTGCAGCCCTGGGCTCAGCCGTGAGCTTCGCTCCTTCTCTCGGCCTGACACAGGGAGATTGGCTGCGGGGGCTGTCCCCCTGGCATTCGCTCTCCTTCCCTGCTCTCTAACTGACCCAGGAGATCAGTGAGGTCACGTGCAGTGTGTTGAGTGGAGATGGGGCTTAGGGAATCCCGCTGCTCTCGTTACTCTCAGCACGTGTCCCGGGGCCCTGGCGATGGCACAGTGTGGGGGCACCTGCCTCGCCACCGCCCGCCCGAGCCCCGCCGGGCGTGATTCCTGAGCATAGGGCCAGGCGTACGCCCGAGCACCACCAGGTGGGACTGCGCGAGAGCAGGAGCGCGCCTCACCCGGCCTCTCCCCCTGGTTAGGAGTACGTCCTGGCCCACACTGAGATGCCCGCCACGCTGGAGGGCGCCGAGGCTGCCATCCGCAAGCAGGAGGATTTCATGACCACCATGGACGCCAACGAGGAGAAGATCAGCGCCGTGGTGGAGTCGGGCCGCAGGCTGCTGAGCGCCGGCAACGTCAGCTCAGACCGTATCCAGGAGAAGGTGGACTCCATCGACGACAGGTGCGGGACCGGAGGCTGGGGGGCTGGGCCCAGCACAGGGGAGCCCCGTAAGCCTGGGCACAGAGCCAGGAGTGGCCCCGAACATCACTGGGTGCGGCCCCCAAAACAGAACAGTAAAAGTGTGGGGGTAGCTGGCAGGGTGCAGCTCAGCAGGAAAGCAGAGAAAAATAACCAGACTTCTGAGGGCGGCTTCGCAACCCCCGTATCCGTGGTATGAGTCATCCCTAAGGGTCTGGGCCGTCAGCTGGCCCAGAGAACCGGTGGGCAGCGCAGAGCTGCCCGAGAAGGTTCTTCGGGGGTTGGACGCATGCAGACGCCCAGGGTGGGGCAGCCTACGGCCCCTGGCGGCCTGCATTCCTGGCTGAGACTGGTTCCCCTTCGTCCCCTGGCCTGCCCAGACACAGCCACCGTCTGAGAAGGGTCAGGGCTGAGTGGCCAGATCACCTTTCCTCGTGATGAGAGAAAGGGACCCTTTTTCCTCCTGCCAAGGCATCCCCAAGACTGAGTGGCCTTGTTTGGTTTTATTTTTAATTATAAAAAAGTTTCTCCCTGGCGGGAGGCCAGTGTCCTCTGCATGACTCTCCCCGCTTGTTTCCAGCCCTGCCCTCATGCCCTTGTTTCCAGCCCGTCCACCCTGACCTTGGGCTTGTGGCTGACCCTGTAGTGGGTACAGCTCAGAACTCACAGGCCGGGCTGTTCTCGGAACCGGCCCATGTCCTCCCCGGCTCAGTTTCAGATCTCGGGGCCACTGGGGACGTTCAGGGGAAACCAGGATTCGGGTAAGGCCTTGCACGTGGCTGACCTGGGTCAATCCCCAGCACCCCACTTGGTCCCTCAAGGGAGTGGGCCCTGAGCACAGAGCCAGGAGTCCGCCCTGAGTTCAGAGCCGGGAGTACTCCTGAGCACAGAGCCACGAGTGGTCCCTGAGTACAGAACCAGGAGTCCGCCCTGAGCACAGAGCCAGGAATCTGCTGTGAGCGCAGAGCCAGGAGTCCACCCTGAGCTCTGAGCCAGGAGTCTGCCCTGAATACAGAGCCAGGAGTCCGTCCAGAGCACAGAGCTAGGAGTCCTCCCTGAGCACTGCTAGGTGTGTTCTCCAAAAATAAACTCGAATATGGAAGGCACCGTAGGCCCTGGCACGTGCCATCAGCATCGCTGACCCTGGATTGTGCTGCACGATTGTGTGTTTCCCGGGCTCTGCAGAAAACTGGTGGCCCAGAGGACCCCGGGGCGAAGTTCAGAGGAGCCCAGCTGGATTCTTCCCTGGCAGCCATAGACACGGGCGGGGTTGACTGAGGGGAAGCCAGCTGGAGAGTCGGAGGGAAGCCGAGTATCCTTCCCGCAGTCTGCCACGAGGCCCTGTCCGTCCCCAGCCGTGGGCAGCCACCCAGGACGTCCACTGATTCCCGCGATGCAGCTGCCCCTGGTGGAGACCCTGGGCACAGGGGGTGTGGGGGGCTTTGCCAGTGAGGCCAGCCCTGCCACGGTGCAGAGCAGGACAAGCCTCCCACTTCCCCGGGAGGAACCAGGGTCACTGGGGCTTCTGAATGCAAATGGTTTTATTCAAAGGTTATATGTATTTTTGGCCTTTGGCAACTAATTTAATTAATAATGGAATTTAGTAGGTGGACAACCTCAAAAATCAAAAATGTCCCTTCCTTGGGTTATTGTTTCAGGCCAAAAAAAACAAAAATTTTTTTTTTAAGATGGGAATCTGCTCCCCTGTCATTGATTCATAGCCAGTTGGAGAATTTCTTGTTTTCTTAGCCGTTTGGTGCCCTGTGTCCTGTTTGGAAGTTCTTGAAGATGAGCTTCACCCATCACTGGGAAAGAAGCTGAGCACAGTATGCCCGGGTCACTGCCCCTCACCTGACCGGAGCGCTCTGGCTGGGCCCAGTGCTGCTCTTTGCATTGGGCATGGTGTCTCACTCAGACTTGTTTGCAAAGTGCAAATCTCTCATTTCTTTGACATCTTATCTACATTGTAAGCAGTCCAGCATATAGAAAAGCCAGGAAAGAAATTGAATTACTCTTAAAAAAAAAAAAAAAAACCTTCAAGCTTTCTGCTTCTTTGTTTTTTTCTTTAAACATTTTTTTTCTTTTTTTATTAAGACACCATGATTTACAAAGCTGTTCAGTGTCCCCCTTCCTCCACCGAAGTCCCAGGCTCTCCCCCCCCCCCCTTCCTTACCCTCTTGAGCACACGACAGATTTATTTCTTGTTACTTGCTCCATCTCTACTTCTTTTTAAAAAGTCTTTTTCTCATCATTGTAACAGACACAGGAAGAACCGCGAGGCAGCCAGTGAGCTTCTGATGCGACTGAAGGACAACAGGGACCTTCAGAAGTTCCTGCAGGACTGTCAGGAGGTGTGTCTGCCTCTGGGTGGGCTTTTCTCTTTCATGAGGTGACATGGTGCGCATCAGAGTGCGCGTTGGAGGGACACAGGTCCCAGGAGACATGAGCCCTCCGGCCCTGGGCCTCTCACCTTTGCATCTCCCCTCCTGGCTTGCTACCAGCAGCCCCCCCGTACTTGCCCTGACCGTCGGAAATGACAGAAGTTGGGGCTGGACCGTGGTCAGTGTGTGGGCACGTGGCTGGTTTGGATGGGCCCCGATTCAGTCCCGGGCACCCTCTGCTTCCTCTCAACACCGCGGTCACACACCAGCCCTACCAGTGAGCATGGCGGGAAGTGCCCCTAGGAAGAGAATGGATTAAGGCCACCAACCTTGTCACCTCTGCAATCTGGAATGGAATGATATGGCCCCCTCTCAGATTTCCCAGTCAATTATTACTAACATAATTGCAAAAGTAAAAATAAATACTGACAGTAAGCGAAAGAAAAATAATAATAATTACTACAGCAGGCAGCCTGGAGGTCCAAGTTGACGACGATGTTTCTCAACCTTCATTTTTTTGTTTTTTGGAGGGGGTTTTTTGACCCGTGGTCTCCTTCCAACCTTGCACTGGCCCCTCCCCCACTCTGCTGATCAGCCTTGTGACCCTGTGCTGCGACCCTCATTTATACAGGGCAAGTGGTCAGAGGGCCCGGGTGGGCAGACACTGCTTCTGTGTTATCCACCGGCCGTGTGCGGCTGTTTGGACTCAGCTGACGTTGGGGAGTCTTTTTGTAGTAAGCGGAGGCTTTTAAAACGCAAACCGAGTTTCTTTTGTAAAATACCTGTGTGCTGGGCTGGAGGGAGCCTGGGGGAAACCCTCATCACTCCCCAGCCCACCAGGCACCAGTTCCATGGGTGCAGACCGACCGTCCTCAGCTCTTGCCATGTGTCTATTGCGCACGAGCGTCATCATGATTCAGACGGGGCCGCAGCATGGGGTCATGTGTGGACCTGACAATCCACAGACTGCCTCTGACCCCTAACGCATGCATGAACAAACTCAAAAAACCGAAGTTAGCCGAGAGAGAGAGAGAGTGTGTGTGAGTGTGTGTGTGTGTGTGTGTGTGTGTGTGTGTGTGTGTGTGTGTGTGGAGGGGAGAGGGTGGGCGTCTGCAAGCTAGTTGCAGGAACACATGGAACTGACTTCATACACATGTGAGTTCACGAGTGCATCGTGTTTCTACGTCTGCCAGAGAGCCGCCTCGGTAGTCAGGTTTATTTCAGGTTTCTTAGACTAGCCCCTTCCCGGGCAGAATAGGACGGAGAGGTTCCCAGCCCAGCCTCGGAGGCCTGACCTGTGGAGAGGGGCAGGAGCAGGCACCAGCGACAGCTTCCCCTTCCGCTGCGCCTTTCATGAGAGCTGCTCTGTGCTCTCGCCGCTCACTGCGGGGGGACGGCCCTGATCTGGGGTGCAGGGTTGTCAGCACCACCCCGAGGTATCTGGGTCTCCAGGGGGGTTCCCTGGAGCCGGGCGGCTGCAGATGAAAGAGCCCCGTTGGGTGATGCGGAGCATTAATCACCCGTGGGCTGCCTCGGGAGTCAGCCTCCAAGGGAAGAAGTGGGTCAGGGTGACTGTTCTGCGCTGGAGGTGGTCAGGTGGCCCCATGGCTCTCCTGTCTCCGTGTCCTCTCCAGGCTTCAGAGACTCATGTAAGCCTCAGCCGTGCAGGGGCCAAGAGGGAGCTGGTTGTCCAGACTCCTGCCTGGAAGGCACGCTCAGGACATGGGGCCTGTTGGCCTGGCCTTGGGGCACACTGGACTGGCTCTGAGGAAAAGGGATGCCTAGACGAGCAGGGGCTGGGGAGTGAGCCGAGAAGCAGGGGGTGGAATCGTGGGGAGGACGAAGGCCTGAGGGTCTGCTCCGGACCCGCGCTCTCCACTCCAGAGAGTCCTTGACGCACAGCGGACATGACCCTCGAGTAGCTGCAGTGTGTGGGGGATGTTGGCTAGGCTCTGCCCTGTCCCGCTCTCTCTTTCCCTTGAGTCTCACTGAGAGGGGACTCACTCTGCGTCTGCTGGTGCGGGGAAGGGCAAGTGCTGGTGCCCCTGTCTTCGCCAGCTCCATCACATCACATTTACTCGGGTTCAGGAGGCCCAGAATCCCAGGGCCAAAAAGGTGCACCAAGTCGGATAAATACCATCGTCAGGCTGTGAACTCGAAGGCAGAGTGTGGTGTGTGTCTGACCAGCCCCACGGAAGTGAGATGCGGGCTAGACATTGACACCCAGAGGCCAGGCTTCATGCTGTCGCTGGCCGTCGGTGCCTTCGCTGTGGGAATTCAGCCAGGCTGCATGTCCTGGTTACAGCAGGCTGCGGAGAGGCCCTTGTGCTTGAGTATTACGTGAGTGGGAGATCCTGAAATGGTGTGGGCCGTTTCCACTCCTCCACGTGCCCCATCAACTGTGCCTCCCCTCGGGAGTAGACTTCCTGCCCTGGGACACAGTGCTCAAGGGCAGCCAGGAACCTTGAGCTTCGTGCTCTGCTCCTAACCTAGACTAGGGCCACCTTGGTCTCCTCTCCTTCCCCGGTCTGCACGGGGTTCCTGAGCACAGATGTGAGGAGACCCTCAGGCAGCCCTGGTCGATGCCGAGGCAGTGGCGATCCGTCTGGCCCCAGGATGTTGAGCCCGTGGGTTCTGTCGGTGCAGCTCACTGTGCTGTACGGCGACTTGTTCAGGAGAACGCAGATGCATGACCCTCTGGTTTTTATGTCGGTCTTTTTGTTGTTAAATCTCTCTTGGATGGGTGATTACAAATAGCAAGAATATGTGAATTCTCACTACTTTGGGTGTGTGTGTGTGTGTGTGTGTGTGTGTGTGTGTGTGTGTGTGCACGCGCGCAAGGGAACCTTAATCATTTGCTTTCCTTTTCACTTCATTTTCTCTAGAATGAATGACCGTGGTACCTCAGATATTTTGCTATTTGGACAACTGGAAAATTGGTCTTTCCTTACCAAAGGAAGGAAGACTGCCGTGTCTCAGTTTTTGTGTCAGATATGCTGTCCTTTGCACACACGGCTTTTTGACATTCCCCGGCCATTCTCCTCCGCAGAAACTGATGTCAGATTCTGGCTGCCATTGCCCTCAGCCTCTCGCCCTCTGCCCTCGGGTGTGGCCTGGGAGGAGTGGGCAGAATCAGCAGCACCCTAAGCTGCGTGTTGTCCCGATGACAGACTTGCGACTGCCCAAGGGCGAGGGAACTTCCCTGGCGGGTCAGTTGCCAGCCTGAGTCCAGGGAGGAGACCGTGCAGTGTCCCAGGCTGCGACTCTGCCCTGGTGCCAACTCTCACTCCTTTGTTGGTGTTGGGTCAGAATTAGGCCATTGGCACAGCCAGTAACGGGCAGGCACCAAGGATCAGGGCAACGGGGCACGAGAGCCAGGAGTGGAGGGTGTCTGTCTGGGCTCGGGGCTGGCAGGCTCTGTTGAGACAAGGCTGAAAGCAGGTGCCCGTCCACGTGCCAGCCTTCAGAGTCCCGTCCCGTGGGTGATCCGGGTCTGAATGGAGGCGGGTGGGAAAAGGAGGCTCCGGGTGAAGGTGGTCAACCTGGAGGGCACGGGGGAGCACTCGCTGGGGCCCTACCCTTCCAGCGGCAGAAGAATGGAATACTGTCCATCATGATGATTGTGGTAGGGCTGGCACAGGTACTTGGACGAGGAAGAGATTGTGACTTGGGTTGACTCGGACAGGATCTTAAACAGCTTTGGAGCAGAGAGCGGGGTGAGAGAGCCAGATTTGGGGAAGCTGGATCCGGGAGCGCCAGTACTCCTGGATTTAATGTCGAGCAGTTTGGAGCAGAGCTCAGACGGTCCCAGTGTGGGCCCTGTCGTGACTCGCCGGACTTCTGTTGACAGGGAACCATGCAAATATGCAAGGGGTGAGACAACACAGCACTTTCCAGGAGAGGAAAGCCGACGTCAGCCCACAGACCCTGAAGCCCCCCTTTGTCTCTCCCCAGCTCTCTCTCTGGATCAACGAGAAGATGCTCACGGCCCAGGACATGTCCTACGACGAGGCCCGAAACCTGCACAGTAAGTGGCTGAAGCACCAGGCGTTCATGGCGGAGCTTGCGTCCAACAAAGAATGGCTGGACAAGATCGAGAAGGTAAGGGGCTGAGCGGGAGGATGTGCTCTTGGGAGGCAGCACGTGCCCAGTGTCCATGAGTCACGCTGGACCACGGACAAGTCTCACAGTCAGCAGAAGGGAGAGAGCAGAAACGAGACAGATGGCGCAAAACGCTTGACATCTCTCTGGACGCTGATGTGCAGTGACCGCGCGTCTGCCGCCACGGGCAGCCCACAGCCCCACACAGGGTCCCACCACCCTGCAGCGACAGAGACCCGATAGGGCTCGTGGGGTTAGGAACACTCCTTATTTCAACCTTTTTCTACTCTCCTTATTATTCTCAGGCACTTTTAAAGTATTTTAAAAGTATTTTAAAAGTATTTAAAAGTATTTTAAAAGTATTTTTAAAGTATTTTAAAGTATTCAGGGGCCAGAAGAAACTCCAGGGTTAGGACGTTAGCTGACCTGGTACAGTCCCAACACACCACGTGGTCTCCTGATAACCAGAGTGATCTCGAAGGCACAGAGCCAGGAATCAGCCCTGAGCAGAGCCTGGTGTGGCCCAGAAATACAGCAAAGCAAAAAAAAAAAAAAAAAAAAATACTGTTTCAGACCCTTAATTGTTTAAATAACGCATTGTGACTGACCTTTTTGAGGGTGCACAAAGTTTAAGGGACAGTTGGATGCCTTGGGCAGAGTCAGCCCCTGGCACTTACTTCTCCTGAAAGATCGTTACAGAGGCCATGTGCCCTAGCTGCTTGACTGGATGTGGGGTCAGGGAGAATTTCTTGGTTTTGGAGGGGACCTGGGGGATATTGGCTTTTTGAGTCCACTTGGTGGTGCTCGGGTTACGGCTGGCTCTGCACTCAGGAAACACTCCTCAAGTGTTCAAACGACCATATGGGATGTTGGGGATTGAACCTGGGTTAGCCATGTGCAAGGTCAATGCCTTGTTTGCTATAATGTCACTCCAGCCCCAGGAGAATTTATTTGAAGTAAACTTAATATTTGTCATTCAAATATTAGGGTGCTTGATTTGTATATCTAATTTATATGCCCAGGGTGGCATAAAGATTTCTCAGGGCAGAAGCACCAAAGGGGGCCACTTAACTTTATCAAGCAGTAACCGTAAGAAAAGACCGTGTGTGTGGAAGGAATGGGTAAAACACAGTGCAAATACCCTAGGCTTTTCACAGTGGTAATTTTCCGTGGACACTGCCTCTATTTGTAACCACACTGGTCGCCTTTTCCAGGAAGGAATGCAGCTCATTTCTGAAAAGCCAGAGACGGAAGCTGTGGTGAAGGAGAAACTCACTGGTTTACACAAGATGTGGGAAGTCCTTGAATCCACCACCCAGACCAAGGCCCAGCGACTTTTTGATGCAAACAAGGCTGAACTTTTCACCCAGAGCTGTGCGGACCTGGACAAGTGGCTGCATGGGCTGGAGACCCAGATCCAGTCTGATGACTACGGCAAGGACCTCACCAGCGTCAACATTCTGCTCAAAAAGCAGCAGGCAAGTGGCCCGCCCCATTCCTCAGGCCCTGACCAAGGCACCGTGGCGGCGCAGAGAACACTACTCAGAAGCCACCGGCACACCTGCCTCTCAAGTCCATCATGCATTCGGGCCCACAGCTTAGATGGGGGGAGGGACGGGCGTGGGGGGAGGGGGAACGTGTTCACACACTTGGCCATGTGCTTCCTGGCTGCTCTGTGTGTTAGGGAGTGACACAAGAAATCCTCCTTCCAAACCAGGATGGAGGGTGCTGAGGGCGAGAGGACAGACTGCACCGGGGAGCAAACTGCCCAGTCAGGGAAGAAAGCAAACCCAGGCTCCTGGGGCTTCCCGCCCCATCGTCAGGGGCATCTTTGCCAAGCGCCAGCATGCACTGCTGCTCCCAGGGACACGCCTCTGTCCTTGGGCTGACGCTTTGGTTCCTCTGTTGTTGGAGTCATTCCCTCCTTCCCTTTGCCCGTACGGCCGCCTGTCCTCAGGCTGCAGGGAGTCTGTCCATTCGCGGGAACTCTCCCGGGCTCTGAGTGTCTAGACCCCCCGGGGGGTTCTGAGCGCGATGCCCTGCCTGCACTTGGCCCGTTTCATTTTCTTGATGAAAACGAACAAAAACAAATTAGCGTGTGCTCTGAACTGATTGCACAAGGGTTCAGAAAAGTAGCAATTTCCTGATTGAAGAGATTCAGGGAAAATAAAAATATGGTCTTGGCCATTATCCTTCTTGCCTGGAAGGATTGGAAGCTCAAGTTTGTGTTCCTCCCTGGTGGTTAGACTAGCTTCCGACCTCATTCTGATTTCTGAACAAGCGGAAGAAAGGAACTGTCCTTTTCCCATAACTCATTTCTTCTGTTGGCTTCTGTACTTCCAAGTTCCGGGATAAGCCTGAGTCTTGATCCCCAAGTTGCCAAGTCCTGGAAGAGACCTGAACGTTGGATTTAGGACACAGGGCGAGTGGATAAGGTGATCGATCATTCAGGCCATTTCCTGAAATCTCCCCTCTGTAACTTCCTGTCTTCGGAAGTGTCATTTGGGGCAGCGCTGGAAGGAGGCAGGGTTTCCTAGGGCCGCCCCGTCCCCTGTGTCACCGGCATGCGAGCCATCTGCTTTCTGCCCACAGATGCTGGAGAACCAGATGGAGGTGAGGAAGAAGGAGATCGAAGAGCTGCAGAGCCAGGCCCAGGCCCTGAGCCAGGAGGGGAAGAGCACGGACGAGGTGGACAGCAAGCGGCTGACTGTGCAGACCAAGTTCCGGGAGCTGCTGGAGCCGCTGACCGAGAGGAAGCAGTACCTGCTGGCCTCCAAGGAGATCCATCAGTTCAACCGGGATGTGGAGGATGAAATCGTGAGTGTGGCTCGCTCCCCTCCCCCAGCCTGCACTCACCTGCGCACTCCGCCTGGCCAAGCAAGGCTTTCCAACGGTCTAGGTGTAGATGCCCCTAGAGTGGTATTCTTAGGGAGAAAGAATCAGGGACAGAGCGAGAGATCACCAGGGAGAGCATTCGCCTTTCGTGCGACCGACCCAGGTTCGATTCCCAGCATCCCATATGGTCCCCCGAGCACCGCCAGGAGTAATTCCTGAGTGCATGAGCCAGGAGTAATCCCTGAGCATCTCTGTGTGATGCAAAAACTGAAGGAAATAAAAAAGGAAAAGAAAGTGTTAGGAGCAGGTGAGACTCAGGTCCAGGTCTGCCAAGCTCGAGCGGCGCCCCCAGCTGGTCCCAGGGCTCCTGGGCATGGCTTGGGAGGAAAGCAGGCGGTCGGTGGGCAAGCCTGGGCATGAGTGGAGGTCTGGAGGGCTCATGAGGGCGGGTGCCATGGGTCGGGCTCCCTACCACCTGCCCCACCTGGCATTGGCACTGCTGTTTCCTGACACCCGTGTGTGTTCTCCCAGCTGTGGGTCGGAGAGCGCATGCCTCTGGCCACATCCACGGACCACGGCCACAACCTGCAGACCGTGCAACTTCTCATCAAGAAGAACCAGGTAATGGCCGGCGGGGCGCCCTGTGCAGGGGGTGGGCAAGGCCAGGACACGCCCGAGCCGCTTGTGCGTCCCCCCGCAGACCCTCCAGAAGGAGATACAGGGCCACCAGCCGCGCATCGACGACATCTTCGAGCGGAGCCAGAGCATCGTCACGGCCAGCAGCCCCAACGCCGAGGCCATCCGGCAGCGGCTGGCTGACCTGAAGCAGCTGTGGGGGCAGCTGATGGCTGAGACGGAGAAGCGACATGCGCGGCTGGAGGAGGCCCACCGCGCCCAGCAGTACTACTTCGATGCGGCTGAGGCCGAGGCCTGGATGAGCGAGCAGGAGCTGTACATGATGTCAGAGGAGAAAGCCAAGGTGAACCGCCGTCCCCTCCCCCATGGCTCCGGGCGTTTGATGGGCGGGCTGGCGGCACCTGACCAACCCTCCCTGCAGGACGAGCAGAGCGCCGTGTCCATGCTGAAGAAGCACCAGATTCTGGAGCAGGCCGTGGAAGACTATGCGGAGACTGTGCACCAGCTGTCCACCACAAGCCGCGCCCTGGTGGCCGAGGGCCACCCCGAAAGGTGGGTGACCCCCCGCCCTGCGTGCCCGTACTGGTGGTGCCGAGACTTCTGGGGCAGGAAGGGGACTCGGAGGCCAGGATTGTGGAGGGCACCCTTGCGGGTCATGGGACCTTAGTGCCTGTAGGACAACGGATCCAAGTGCTCAGTCCAGCTCCAGATTAGTGGGGCCGCTTGCATTGAGTCCATGGGCCCCTCATAAGTCCTGTCTCCTGACTCACGTCCAGTCCTTGCTATGTGTCTCTGCAAGGTGGATGCTGGTCCTGCCCGCTGCAGGCCAGGCTCCGGGCCCTTCAGACACTCGGGGCGGGTGGGCCCCACATCCAGCCACACAGGTTGCTCTGAGGCGCTTGCTTGGCGTCCACACGCCTGTCCCTGGGCAGCAGTGGCCACCCGCCCGCTGGCAGGGCAGTCCAGGCATCCACCAGGCGGGATTGCCCCGTGTCCTCTGGCCACACAGTACCAAGAGTGGACTCGGCTTCCGGGTCTTGCCCAAAGATCACTTTGGACCAGAGGGAATCCAGGCTGAGGCCAGCGGCCCCAAGCTGCTTTCACTGCCCTGGTCAGTGCTCAGGGCGGCCAGCAGCAGCCAGCAAGCGTGTTTTGTTTCCGTGTAAGCTCCTGGTCCTTGAAGCCGAGGCCAAGCTTCCGGGTTTAATCTGTTGAACTAAACAGGATGGCTTGGGGGGGCGTGGGGAGCAGTTGTCGTTTGTTCCTGTTTGGGGGCCACACCTGGTGGGTGCCAGGACCCGGTTGGCCACCAGTGAGGCAGGCGCCCTCCCTCCCCACTGTGTGCCACCCCAGCACCAGGGCTCCTGGTTTTCTCCAGAGACCTCGTCTCACACTGTTTGTCTCTCCCACCCGCGCCTACAGCGAGCGCATCAGCATGCGGCAGTCCAAGGTGGACAAGCTGTACGCGGGACTGAAGGACCTGGCCGAGGAGAGGAGGGGCAAGCTGGACGAGCGGCACCGGCTGTTCCAGCTCAACCGGGAGGTGGACGACTTGGAGCAGTGGATCGCCGAGAGGGAGGTGGTCGCAGGCTCCCACGAGCTGGGGCAGGACTATGAGCATGTCACGGCAAGTACTGCCCGGCGCCGGGCAGAGGGTCCATTCCCGGGCGGGTTGCAGGGCCTGGGGCACTCCCCCACATGGCTCTCTCCCCTCCCCCAGGAAGGAAGTCTGACCGGCTGCAAAGGTAGAGCCTCTGCCCGCTCCGTGTCCAGTGCTTGCCTCCCCCAGAGACCCCCGGGGGGTGCCCACAGGCCCCCAGCGGCCGTCCTGACACATCCGCCCGTGTCCCATTCCAGATGCTCCAGGAACGGTTCCGAGAGTTCGCCCGGGACACGGGGAACATCGGGCAGGAGCGAGTAGACACGGTGAACCACATGGCAGACGACCTCATCAACTCGGGCCACTCGGACGCGGCTACCATCGCCGAATGGAAGGACGGGCTCAACGAGGCCTGGGCCGACCTCTTGGAGCTCATCGACACCAGGACGCAGATCCTTGCCGCCTCCTACGAGCTGCACAAGTTCTACCACGATGCCAAGGAGATCTTTGGGCGCATCCAGGACAAGCACAAGAAACTCCCCGAGGAGCTAGGGCGGGACCAGAACACAGTGGAGACCCTGCAGCGGATGCACACCACCTTCGAGCACGACATCCAGGCACTGGGCACGCAGGTGCGTCGGGTGGCTGAGGAAGGGGTCGGGGGCCGCCCAGCTGCCTCCTGGAGGGGTTCACCTGATCCCTCCAGCTCGTACCTCGCCAGCGGCACAGGGAAGGGTTTCTGCCCTCTCCCTCCCTCTCTCCCTTCCTGCTACTGCTGCAGTGACCTGGGACTCACGCCAGCCCTGGGTCTAGCATGCCCCCTCGGCCCCACCACCACCACCAGCCCGCGCCCTGTTGCTCCCCAGGGTCACAGTCTGGGTGAAGCTACATGCGTGGGGGCAGTAGGTGCTCACCAGTGCTGGCCGGGGCTCACCTTCTCTGGCCGCTGTCCCCCAGGCATCGCGCCCTCTGCCCGCCCCGGCGGGGTCCCTTTTGGATGGCTTGGAGAGGTGAGCTTGGTTATTATCCGGGAAATGGGCTTTGAGCTCATTTCTGTGTGACGTGCTCATTCTAGCTTAACACTCCCCCAGCCCAGCCAGCCGTGCTGCTGCTTAGATTTCCGAGTCATGTCTGAGCCACAGAAAATATTTGCGGAAATTTTTCGGGCTTCAGACTTCTAGTGGGGACCAGACCCCATCGATGTGTGTCTCTTGGTGTGTTTTTGCAGGGACTCTTTTCCGTTCTTTCCCACAGCCCACACCCTTAGGCCTAGCTGCAGTCAGACCCTCACCCGCCACGTCACCACTCTTCTCTGTGTTCTCGTGGACAGGGAGTGGGCTGGGAGGGCAGGCACCCAGCACCTGCACGTGGGTCACGGCTGACAGCACACACAGCGTTCTCGCCGTTCCAGCCTTGGAGGTGCCCCCCTTTGTGTTGCCCCCTTCACTGTCAGCGAGGGATCTCGTGCCCGTGGGGGCAGTGCCCCCTCAGCCATGTGCCGACTGCGGTGTTAGCTGCAGTGCCCACCACCTGAGCTGCAGCCAGGCTCAAGGCAGAGCTGTCAGCTCAGACAGAGCACGGGTGGCGGCCCCTGTGTCCACTGAGCATTCGCTGCTGAGCTCGGCACAGAGCCGTGACTGACCCCTGCTGCAGAGCCCTGAGCGCGTCTCTTAGAGCTCCACGTGGGGCCTCTTGTTGTCTTATGGTCTTCCTCTACTGTGTGTCCTGTCCTACAACATTGGCACCTGCCTTCCTCCTAGAGGCACGTTGGCACGCATGGGCCTGCCCGGCTCCCCAGCACGCCCGAGGCCCTTCCCTGCCAGGCACTTCGCTCTTCATCTGGCCTTGACAGGAAAGCACAGTATAAATAGTAAAAAAAAAATTTAATTTTTAATTTTTTTAATTTTTTAATATTTATTTAATTTATGGATTTTAGTTGTTAAATACTCATGAATCTGCCAGATGAATTCCCCAAAGTAGGATCGTGAGATGAAAAGATGATCGGGTCTCTAATTTTGAGGGCTGTTCATGCCATCTTCCTGTCTCATAGATCTCTTGTAACTGCCAGAGCTGAAAAAAAGAACTTGCCAAAAAGACTTGCCAGAAGAATTCCACATCATTGGGTGCATTTCCCAAGTCACAGTTCTCATTTACAAGTGATATGCACTTGCAGTGTCCTATTGGAATGTAACTGTTTGAAATTTCACTTTCTTTGATCCCTTCAGAATTTTTGTCCCATTTTTGAGGGCTCCTACAAGTGTTGAATGTTTATTCTCTGTAATACTTTCTTTTATGATGTTTTAAAAAGTGAAGGAGATTAATTTGTTGCCTTTGGCGGGGGGATACGAGGGAGCTAAAACGCCTGCTTTGTGCTGTGTTTTCTGTACTGTAGTTGTACCACTGACCACATCAGAGGTCCAGTTGTACCACTGGACATTTCCTGACCAGTTCTTTTTCCTTGACTCGTCGTAATGCATACAGTGCTTTGCAAACTGCTGTAAAGCTGCATGATTTAGCTGCATGCTAAGTTCTCTGTATGATTCTTAGAGAACTTAGCTCTCCCAGAGAAACTGTGAGTTGCTTGGGGGTTCAGAGACTCCATTTGATTTGGGGCTTCCGTTTGTGTGTAACCAGCATGTGGAGGGCCCATTGTGCTGGTGTGGACACCTGGGTCTCACGCAGGACTCACCTGGTCTCACCTGGTCTCACCCAGTCTCACAGGAAGTAGTGCCTACCTTTTACCTGGATCTCACCTGGGTCTCATCTGGTCTCACATGGGTGTCCCCTGAGTCTCACCTGGCTCTTACCTGGCTGCTCCACAGGTGCGGCAGCTGCAGGAGGATGCGGCCCGCCTTCAGGCGGCCTATGCAGGCGACAAGGCCGATGACATCCAGAAGCGGGAGAATGAGGTACTGGAGGCCTGGAAGGCCCTCCTGGACGCCTGTGAGGGCCGCAGGGTGCGACTGCTGGACACGGGGGACAAGTTCCGCTTCTTCAGCATGGTGCGGGATCTCATGCTGTGGATGGACGACGTCATTCGGCAGATCGAGGCCCAGGAGAAGCCCAGGTGACTGGCACAGCCCACTATGCTACCCGTCCTTTGACAGAGACCCTGAGCCAAGCCCTGTGCCTGGAAGTAGTACCATGCCACGTTTCTGACTTCTGTCCCCACAAGGAGGTTTTCTGCGTGACGCAGTGCGAAAGCTGGACCTCCCAACTCTGAGCAGCACCGACAGGCGTGGCCAGGCAAAGCTGCCCTAAAGCTGCAGCTCTGTCCCATGTCTGTCCCTCCACCGAGGGCAGGCTGGACCCGCCCTAGACTCAGCCCCACCAGCTGCCAATTTTGAAGCTGGTTCCCGCTTGGTGTTGTCGTGTCTAAGCAGGGAGCAATGAGAGGCGCATGGCCAGGGCCTTTAGTGACTGGTCTGGGAGATGCAGTGGGGGTGCTGGAGTCGCCTGAGAGCTGCCCTGTGATTCCTTGGGGAGGCTCCACATCACAGGTTTGGTCAGAAACCCGGGGGTTTTCGGCATCCGTACCGCTGCCACCGTGACGTGCCAAGGCGCACGGCCCCGTAGCAGCTGCCATGCTCTGAGCAGTGGGCACTGCCGGCCCTGCCGCGGCCTGGGCAGGCTGTACTGTTGAGCTGTACTGTTGAGCGTTCCCCCAGCACCGCCACTCACTCCATGTTCTGAAACCCAGCCTTAGGTGAGAAGCTTGATTGCCTAAAGCAGATGTTGTTGTTCTCTGGTTCTAGGGATGTGTCATCGGTTGAGCTATTGATGAATAATCATCAGGGTATCAAAGCTGAGATCGATGCTCGGAATGACAGTTTCACAACCTGCATTGAACTTGGGAAATCCCTGCTGGCGAGAAAGCACTATGCATCAGAGGAGGTAGGGACCACCCTGCGGGGGCAGCAGAAGAAAGTGAGGCCCCAGAGGGAGCCCAGGACACTGCTTTGTGAGTGCGTGTTGCGTGTGTGTGTGTGTGTGTACGCATATCACACAGAGAAAGGGCTGCCTGTGTGTTTTTGCCCACTTTTGTATGTGCAGGTGCCCTTAGATCTGTTTCAGAGTCCTCACTGCTTCCCTGTAAATCAGGATAAGACAGTGAGAGAAGACAGCTTCTGAGGGCCTGAGGCTGGCTTCGTACCCTTTCCCTTGCCCACCAGCTCTTTCTGATCCTGTCCTTCCCTCGTCCCTGGGGTCTCAACTGTGTAAATGGTTGCTTCTTCCATCAGCGCAGCACCCAGGTTCCAGAAGCTCGCCGCAGAGGTCGGGGGGCTTGCCCCTTGCACGCTCTGTCCGAGCCCCCCTGCTCCCTGACCCTGCTCTGAGCAGTGGATCTGTTCCTGATGTCCCGCAGTTCAGGGAGGTGGCCACCAGGGCACGATGAGGACAAGGCACTTCCTGCGAAGACATTCATGAGTCCTTCTTTCCTTGCAGATCAAGGAAAAGTTGTTGCAGCTGACGGAAAAGAGAAAAGAAATGATTGACAAGTGGGAGGACCGATGGGAATGGCTTCGACTGAGTAAGGACAGGCTCTGCCCCCCCAGGGCTGGCTTTCTTGGGATCCGTCTCTTAGATTTGGGTGTTTCTGAATGCCTTCTTCTAGAGCTCCGTTTCCTTATGCTAAATATCTTTCCGTGCACCCCATGGTGGAGCTCAGTGGTTAGGCGGGGCTGGGGCGTTAGTTAGAATGGCATGAGGGTGACAGGATTGGGAATCCATTGGAGGGAGTGGGCGCAGCTATAAGTCTAAGGGGTGCTCTTCCTTGACTTGGTGTCAGGACTGTTACCACTGTGGTTGAGAGTTGGGAAAGTACCCTAGCTAGGCCCAACATCTGCTGCTCTTAGTAGAAAGTGGATAGTACAAGCTGACAGCCCTACGGATTTCACAGAAAGCTGGGCACTAACCTAAATGCTTTCTGTTTTCCTGTGTTTACTCACTGCAGTCTCGTATATTGTGTTTTCCATCTAATTTTCCAAGCCCGGTATGAGCTAACACAGTTAACTCCATGCAGTGTAATGGGAATAACTGCTGTGGACACTGGGGCAAATCAAGCCTTGTTCTCCAGACTCCGCTGTCTGTCTGGGACTCGGCTCTACCATTGTATTAAATACCCTTCTTCTTCTTCTCTACAAACAAGCCCGGGTCCAAGGCTAATGCCATGCATAACAGACCTTTAGGAAGGTTCCTCGGCCAAGGATGGACTCAGAGTCGTCTTTCGAAAACATGAGTCTTGCTTTGGACCATTCTTTCGTTTTGGGGACTGAGACTTCGCAGCACGGGCTCAGTTGCAGGTCCCCCCTCAGTAACAATCTGGCTGCGGGCACAGGAGGAAATGTCCCATGCCAGCCGGAGTGGGGACAGGTGACGCAGGGTGCTCGGAGGAGGATGAAGGCGTCGGCCACTCAGGGGATCACTGCTGTCGCCTGAGTTCTAGTGGGCGTCTGACTGGCCCCAAATATTGCTTCCCTGGATGCGGGGACAGTTGTCACTGCTTTGCCCTGACTGCAGCGGCCCCCACTGCAGCCTCATGGCTCCCCCACAAAGCAGAGTCCCCAGAAAGGTGGTCCATGCTGTTAGCAGCCTGTGCCAGATCTGGACAGACATTGTCTCAGAGCCCAGAGTCCTTCCTGGGAATGCGACCACTGTCCACAGAGGGCTCTGGGAAACCAGAGCTGGGCCTCCTCAGAATGGAGACGTGCTGAAGCATGACCCACCTCTGACCTTGGTGGCGGAAGGGGAAGGGCATGGACGCCTTCCTGGCATCCGCATACTGGTAGTGACACTGACCAGTGATACTGGGCAAGTGCTCAGTGTGCCCTTGGCACTCCCTTCACCTGTCCGCAGTGTCGCCTCTCGGATAGTCAGCACTGGAGCCTGGCACCAGGGTCTGAACCCCTGACACAGCCCAGCTGAGCTGCTGCAGCTGCCCCCGGGTCATGCTCTGCACTCGAAGCCCTGGGCCCCCAGGAGCACAGACGGGGCCAGCACAGCAGTGGCCAACTGGCGTTGGTGAAGGGTCTGACTTTCACCCTGGTGGTTTCGAAACCTTTTACCATGGCAGAATTTTTCACAACACCCTCATAACTGTGGGGGTCCTGTAACTCTGGGCCCTGAGGGTTTCGTATTCTAGTAGGTTCAAGGGGCCTGAGAGACAACGGGTAAGGCACATGCTTGGCCCACAGCCCACCTCGATTTGGACTCCACCGGGAGTGACCCCTGGGCGCTGCAGCATGTGCCCCCCAGACCAAAAATGAAAGGAATTTATGATTATTTCCCAGTTCTACACCTGTTCCATCTATCCGGGCGCCCGGGGTGGTGAGTGGGCTACCGAGTACCCACCGAGCCCTTGACTCACCACGCACCTTGTGCCCCGTGCAGTCCTGGAGGTCCATCAGTTCTCAAGGGACGCCAGCGTGGCTGAGGCCTGGCTGCTGGGGCAGGAGCCATACCTGTCCAGCCGGGAAATTGGCCAGAGTGTGGACGAGGTGGAGAAGCTCATCAAGCGGCACGAAGCCTTTGAGAAGTCGGCCGCCACCTGGGATGAGCGCTTCTCTGCCCTGGAAAGGCTGACAACAGTAAGTGCCCTGGGCAGCTGCCCTTTGGCCGTTGTTCTGTCTCTGTCTTATCTCCTGGCGTCTGGACCTGATGCTCCCAGTGAGCACTCCAGCCAAGATGCAGAAAATCCGCAGCACCCGGTCAGGGCACTGGCAGCCTTGGCAGGAAGCTAGTTCTTGAACCTGCACGAAAGTGGTGTTTGTTCGGCTTTGACTCCAAGGACTCGAAGTGCCTGTGCATGCGTCTGTACTCACAGGGAGTGGGAACACAGATCAGTGGCCCAGCGATGTCCTGGGTTCCATCCCGTCTTCCCAGAACAGAGGCATGTGGAGATAGATAGAGCCAGTGAGGTGGACCGGCTTCATTAGCCTGTCTGGGCCTTGCAGATAGCTGCATTTGCATGTGGCTGAGGGCTTTCTGGGGAGCTGTGGGCTTCCGCAGGCTGAGGGCTTCATCGGGCTGAGGGCTTCCTCGGGCTGTGGGCTTCCTCGGGCTGAGGGGTCCATGGGCTGAGTGAGGGCTTCCTCAGGCTGAGAGGTCCGAGGGCTGTGGGGTCTGTGGGCTGAGGGCTTCCTCAGGCTGAGGGGTCTATGGGCGGTGGGATATGTGGGCTGAGGGGTTTGTGGGCTGTGGGATCCGTGGGCTGAGGGGTCCATGGGCTGTGGGACCTATGGGTTGAGGAGTCTATGGGCTGTGGGGTTCGTGGACTGAGGGGTCCCATGGGCTGTGGGGTCTGTGAGCTCTGGGGTCCATGGGCCGAGGGCTTCCTTGGTCTGAGGGGTTCATGGGCTAAGAGCTTCCTTGTGCTGAGGGGTCGGCGGGCGGAGGACTTCCTCGGGCTGAGGGGTCCATGGGCTGTGCAGTCAGTGGGCTGAAGACTTCCTCGGGCTGAAGCCTTCCTTGGCCTGAGGGGTTCCGTGGGCTGAGTGAGGGCTTCCGAGGGCTGAGGGGTTCTGTGGACTGAACGATCCGTGGGCCGAGGGCTTCCTCAGAGTGAGGGGTCGATGGGCTGTGGGATATGTGGGCTGAGGGGTCGATGGGCTGTGGGATATGTGGGCTGAGGGGTCTGTGGGCTGAGGGGTCCATGGGCTGTGGGATCTATGGGTTAAGGAGTCTGTGTTCTGTGGGGTCCATGGACTGAGGAGTTCCATGGGCTGTGGGGCCAGTGGGCTGAGGGCTTCCTTGGGCTGAGGGGTTCGTGGGCTAAGAGCTTCCTTGTGCTGAGGGGTCAGTGGGTGGAGGACTTCCTCGGGCTGAGGGGTCCATGGGCTGTGCAGTCAGTGGGCTGAAGACTTCCTTGGGCTGAAGGCTTCCTTGGGCTGAGGGGGTCAGTGGGCTGAGGGGTCCATGGGCTAAGGGCTTCCTTGGGGAGCTGAGGCAGCGGCTGCAGCTCCGTGACCTGGGACAGGTTTGCCGGGCACGGGGGCAAGTCCCGGCAGGAGTAAGGCAGGACTCTTGGGCTCATTTGGCCCCCTGTGAAAGAGGCTGCCCCGGTGGGCTTGCTCAGCATCCTCTTGTCCCCTCCCAGTTGGAGTTACTGGAAGTGCGTAGACAGCAAGAGGAAGAAGAGAGGAAACGACGGCCGCCATCTCCGGAGCAGACGAAGGTTTCTGAGGAGACCGAGTCCCAGCAGTGGTGAGTCCTGCGTCCTATTTAGGCACAACTGGGGGACAGGATAGACTCTGCTAGCGTGGCTGGGCCGGGCCGGCCTGTCCACTAAGCCCCGTGTGGCACTTGTGAGGGTATGTGATGCTGGCACGGCAGAAGAGTGTAGTGTGAGCCCCTCCCCACTTCTCCCTGCACACATGCAGAGTTTCCCCATGCTGGGGTTGGACAGACTCCCGCCGGGTCAGGCCAGGGCTTGTGGAACTGCTCCATGAGGGAGAATGGGAGGTCGGGGGAGGCTGGTGACTCGCCTGGCGAAGAGCTTGTTGGTGACTCCCTCACCTTCATTCTTTACGCATAGTCTGAAGTGCATGCAAAGCTTTTCAAAAGAAATTACAAAGAAAGTTTTTTAAAACTTTAAGAGCCCAAGGGATAGATAGTACAGAAAGTACAGCACTTGCCTTGCTCACGGCCAAGCCGGGTTCCATCCCCGGCATCCCATATGGTCTACTGAGCATTGCCAGGAGTGATCCCTGAGCACAGAGCCAGGAGTCACCTCTGAGCATTGCTGGGTGTGGCCCCAAAATCTAAAGTTAAATATAAAAGAAACTATGTAGTCGCATTTGCTATTCCGAGAGATGAGCTGCAGTAAAGCTTTTCCTCTTCTTCCTCTCCCCTTCTCTTCCACCCCACAGGGACGCTTCCAAAGGAGAACCTGTGTCCCATAATGGCTTGCCGACTGACCAGGGATCTCCACGGGTTAGTTACCGCTCTCAAACCTACCAAAACTACAAAAGCTTTAATAGCAGACGGACAGCCAGTGGCCAGCCCAGGCCTGGACCGTGAGGCTCACCCCATCTGTCAAGCACCTCTTCCCAGACCCCGTTGGCGGCTTTCCACCCAGTTTTAAAATTTTACTTAATTCATAGTCTTCCTTGGTTTCGTATTTGTGTTTAAACCATGTTTATTTGAGTCTTTTTAACAGATGATGGACCGTTGCCTTAAGCAACATACTTATTCTTGTTTATTTATTGTGAGCTTTTTACTTTATTAAGATCTTACAGCAAAAGCCTTACATGTGGTGATTGAAATTTAATGAGATTACAGCAAAATGAAGATGAGAACTAGACTCTGCTGGGTCTGACATACCCGGTGACACTAGGGGGGCAGCTGCGGCTAGTGTCACCTGCTGTCCTTTACTAGTAAGTAACCAGAGAGCCTGGAGACCCCCAGTGCTCAGATTCATGCTTCCAGCTAGCTGTGTCAACATTCCATGAAGAACAATGCATTCTTTTTTTTTATAATTTTTTTTAAGGATGTCATACGTCCTTGGGAACGCTATCTCATCTGGGGGTGCAGAGTCTTCCAGGTGTCGGGTCCCACGCATCGTTTAACCATTGTACAAAGCCGAGCTGCTCATCCCCGATCTCTGCCAAGTCCTGAGCTCTGGACTCCTGGGCAGTGGACAGTGGACAGTGCAGCTGGCCTCAGGATCCAGTGCCTGCTGACTGCTGCTGGCCACAGCCCTCAGCACCATGCAGGAGTCCACCCGGAGACTTGAGGGTGTCAATCTGAGTCTTTCTAACCAGCGGGACCAACGCCAGCACTGAGCTCCCCCCACCCGGCAGCAGCCCCTCTGGCCTCAGAAGTGACGCCAGAGTCCGTGGGCAGAAACTCAGCTGTGTGTCTCATTGGTCTCTTGTGGTTCGTTTTTTTGTTCTTTCAAGACTGTGGAACCCTCGTGTAGGAGGTGCCCATCAGGACGTTATTTCACCATCAAGGATTGGAAATGTTTTCACAAAAATCCTGTTCCTTAGGAGTAAACGCTGATGAAAGAGGCAGTTTCCTGGTACTGCTAAGGACAAAAACAAACCCAACCCCTTCCCCGTCCGCGCCTTGTAAGGCGTTCACGCACTCATTTGCCATATTAGACGTTAGTGGGATCAGAAACCCATTGATACATGTTCTCCATGAGTTAAGTCTGATTTGTCTTTTCATTTCATGATGCATGTCTTTTTTTTCTTTTGTCAGGATAACATCATATAGCATCTTGTTTGTTTTTTCTTATTTCTATGTCCATATCTATCTGCTCGTGCCTATAGCTGGGCATATAGCTAGATGCCAAGCTTCTTATGTTACGGGGTAGCGCGCACCATGATTGGGTCTCTGCCGTAAAACATCAAACTCTGTGAAAAGGAAAAACACCCTGCTACATCTTCAGTCTTCAGGGAGCCTCTCATGTGTATTTCTGGCTCCAAATTATGTTTGTCCTTGGTCTCTATGTATGTGATGCTTCTGTGTGTGTGTGTATATATATCTGATATATATACACATACACACAGAGAGAATGTGTATATATATGCACACACATATATACACACACATATACACATATATATGTTTGAATTTTGTTAAACATCATCAGGACTGATAGCCAACTTTATGCTTTTTTTATATTCAGGAAATAAAAAAAGTAAAATACACCAGCACACAGGAAAAATGCTATGCTGTTCTCAACATTTGTTCTCATGACTATTTTTAAATTTGTTTTTAAATTAGAGTTTGCCAGAACAAATGTAATTGGATTGTATTAGAAGAAAAGCCTTTTTATTCTTTTAAGCAATGGTGCAGAGACTCAAGTCCGCAAACTTGAAAATGGTGTTGCTTCATGCACTCAGAAAATCCATCCACTGTTTCTTGTGCTACTGATTGTCACTCTGCATTTCTATGCACCCCTGATGTCAGTGTCTCAGCACACCTGGCACCTAAGCGCTGTGGGCTAATCGCTGATGAGCAGGGCAGGGCGGGCAGGCGGGCGGGTGCGGGTACCACTGTTTGGTCACAGCACTATGATTTGCTTTCAATGTGTGTCTAGCCGTGTGTGTTCTGTTGGCATGCTCAACGCACATGTCCATTAAAATTCATTTTTGTTCCTTTTATTTTTCCTCGTTTTCTTCGTTCATGATTCATTTGCATAAACATTAATTATCTCTGCATACCGGTTTGGGGTTTTTCTCTTTCCTTCTAACTCTGAAAGAAAAAAAAATTTTTGCTGCAGAATTTCTCCCCTAAGAGCCTTTGCTGTCATCACGTCCCTTGAGGCACAGCAGGTCAGTCTGCCCGGGGCACAGCCCACTGCAGTGCTGGCCCAGCAGCTTCCATCACACCTGCAGCACTAATTTTTTTTTTTTGACCTGGTTTCTCTACACACTAACCTCATGCCCCCCCTGGGTCACCCCTGGCACAGGCCTTCCATATCAAACTCACACTTCAGGGCTTTCCTGCAGTCTCACACGAAAACAGATCTGTCAACTTTAAGCTCCATCGTTTTATTTTGATTCCGGGTGGGTTTGTTTTTGTTTAGGGTGGGATTGTTTTGTTTGGAGGGGGTGGGGGGTTGTTGCTGTTGTTGTTATTTTTCCCTCCTGTATCTCTCTTTTAAAAGTGAAGGGAAAAGAAATATTTGAATAGCCTTTTGCTTATAAGCAAACACCTACAGGCTGTTCCTTGCAAAGCCAGAAAAATCATCAGACATTCCTGCTCATCATCCCATCCTGCCCCAGGATTCCATTGCCACGCTGCTGTGTGGGCAAAGGTTCTGACCCAGAGCCCTTAAATATGGCCTCGAATGCTCTCTGGACCCCGAGGCCAGTGGTGAATTTAAGATTCCCATTAGCCCTTCAGAGTAGCTGTAAATGAGAGCCCCTGAGAGTTGACATTTCTGAGTGTTCCCGCTGGGTGGCCATCCTGCCCACTGTCCTTGAGGCCATTGCTGCTAATTCGGTGTCATTTTGGTTCTGGGCAGCAGTGTGGGGGATATGCCTAGTGAGCGTGCCATTGACACCTGTGTCTGTCCGTGTGAGGGGTCCGGGCCCTTCATAACCCACTAAAGCGTCAGCCCACACCCAGCTTCAGTAACTTGCTAATTCCGCGCCTGGGTGTATCGGCCAGGGCCGGCGACAGTTAACGGTGCCCAGTCCCAGCACACAGGCCGAGATCGGTAATGAATCGAGACCCTACTGCATTTCCAAAGCCGGAAAGCCATGGGGGTCACGCTTTAAGTGAGCTTGGGAAGGAGCAGCTCCTGAAGACGTCTCCGGCGAGAAGGCCAGAGCTGCTGGAGCCTGGCGACAGCACGTGATGGGGAAGGCCGTGGTTCTGTCTGTGTTTGGGGGTAAATAGCCGTGTGGTGTTGAGTGACTGTGATTGGCTTCTCCAGCTCCTTTAACACCAACTACAACCCCTCACGAGACAACTCCGGCAGATGTGCCCCATTGGCGTTTGTTACTTGCCTCGTTTCCTTCCAGCTCTTAAGTTCCCAAGTCTAACTGGGATGGTAGCCGTGAACTGCATGACTGTCGTCCTAATTTCTGCATGTGTTTATGACAGTGTGTTGGGGGGAAGGAGAGGGGTGGGGGAGGGCAGAGAAAAGTTTCCAGGCACCAAAGGTCTCTCCTTGGCCTGACTCGGGGGAATGCTGTCGCTCTGATGGAACTGTCTGTCCGTCTGTCTGTGAATGCCCTTTCGCTTAAACCTCCCGCCCTCCTGGTGGTGTCCCTGGTTGTGCGGTGGCTGCTGTATAACGTCCACTCTCATATTTAATATGTGTGATTGTTACCTTTGTCCTTTCGTCTCAAAGTGACGTGAGAGGAAAAGATCCGAGTGACCTCGAGACAATGGAGTGGTCCGAGGCGCCAAGTGCAGTAAAACTCATGCTGGCCTTTCGCTTTCCTCATCTCCCCGTAAACGGCGGGCATTAATCCCTCCACCTTCTAATGTCCCCGGGGTCCGGCTGGCTTTTTGGGTGTGCGCTGGTTTTACTGTACAGGCATTTATACACAGCCACTGTGCGAGTCGGTCAGAGCGTCTGTGGGCACCCCCGGTGCACGCAGGGCCTGACGGCTTCTCTCCCATCCTCAGATGACAGACAAGGGGAACACGAGCGAATTGGTCAATGGCGCCGCAGAGCAAAGGACGAGCTCGAAGGAGTCCAGCCCCATCCCCTCCCCAACATCCGACCGCAAAGCCAAGACTGGCCTCCCAGCCCAGGGCGCGGCCACCCTCCCAGCCCGGACGCAGGACGCTCCCTCCGCCCAAATGGAAGGCTTCCTGAACCGGAAGCACGAGTGGGAGGCCCACAACAAGAAGGCCTCGAGCAGGTGAGGTGGGAGCTGGCGTGGAGGGGAGGGCTGTGGAAGGGGCGTGGGCACTCGAGGCAGGTACAGGTGTGCAGGTTGCGTGCTATACAAGGAGTCCCACGGAATAGCAGCTTCTTCATTGATGGGGACACAGGATGTGAGTTGGATGGGTGGACTTCGGCCTTTGGGGTCTTGTTTTGATCAGTCAGTGCGTTGGGACGGGCGCTGAACCTCGAGGGTCATTCTGATCCACCCGGAGGCAGCACACGCCCTGGGTCTCCCTGCCACATGGCCACTGTTGGGAGAATGAGACAGCGGTGGCCAGAGTGCTTGGACGGGGCATGGCACTGCGTCTGCCCTGCATGTGGGTCATGAGCCTTGAGCCTGCCAGGTGTGATGACCTGGAGCCAGAAGGAGGCCCGTCCCCAGACCCTTGGCTGTCCCGGCACACGCACTTGGTGGGGAGGCAGAGAGGTCGCACCTTGCTCCTGTTGGGGCTCTCGTGTAGGTTGCGCTCCTTAGGGGGGATGGAAGAACCAAACGTCGGACATCAGCATCCCTGTTCTCCGGGGAGCCGCACAGCCTCCTGACATGCCTCCTTCACTCTGCTCAGATCCTGGCACAACGTCTACTGCGTCATCAACAACCAGGAAATGGGCTTCTACAAGGACGCGAAGATGGCGGCCTCTGGGGTGCCCTACCACAGCGAGGTCCCCGTGAGTCTTAGGGAGGCCGTCTGTGAGGTGGCGCTCGACTACAAGAAGAAGAAGCATGTGTTCAAGCTCAGGTGTGTGGCGGTGGGGCCCGCACGCTCCCGACTCAGCTCCACACCCCATCTGGTCCCACCTGCGTGTCCTTATCCGAGACGTGTCTGAGTCTCTGGATTGTCGCGCTAGTGTGCTCCCGTGGCGCCCAGACGCAGTTCATGCGCATGACTGCCAGGGACCCAGCAGCGTCGGGAGAGGGGGAGGCAAGGCCCATCCCAACCCCTGGAGGCGTTCTCAGTTGCCCACATCCCTGGGTTTTTAGCAGATTCATTCCACACCTGCCCCCTCCAAGGTACCCCCCTGAAATCAGCCTGGCGAGGGGCAGGGAGACATCTCTGCGGCGTGCTGCTCTCTTCCAAGATTCCCCTGTGAGCCTCTGAATTATGGCATTAATCACCCAAGAAGTTATTAACTGATAATAATCCCCTTGGTGTGACCAGCTACTTGGCAGCACCTCAGTTGGGGTCTCAGGGCTGTTTGCGGTGCTGGTTTCTCTGCATATGGGCACGGCAGGGACAGATCTTCCAAATTTATGACTTGCTGGGGCTGGAGCGATAGCACAGCGGGTAGGGTGTTTGCCTTGCACGCAGCTGACCCGGGTTCGATTCCCAGCATCCCATATGGTTCCCCGAGCACCACCAGGAAGGAGTAATTCCTGAGTGCATGAGCCAGGAATAACCCCTGTGCATCGCCGGGTGTGACCCAAAAAGCAAAAAAAAAAAAAAAAAAAAAATTTATGACTTGGATCATATGAGGCGAGCCACTCCCATTTCACAATTCAAGGAACACTTAGGAAATTAACCTCTCCCCTCTCCTTCCCCCGCCCCCTCATCCTGACTGGCACCTGCAGGGGCAACAGCCCTGTGTCTCTTCCCTGACCCTCCTGTGCCACAGGGCATGGTCCCTTCCCCGCAGGTTCACGCAAGCCGGGTGCCTTCCCGGCAAACACTCAGGAGCGGGCAGGGCCACAGCACAGCGGCCAGCGTGGGTTTAAGCCCCAGATGGCACCTCAAGCCCCACCAACTGGGAGTAAGCCCCAGGCCTCGCTGGGCTCAGAGCCGACCTGTCGGTAGTTCAGCTGCGGGCTGTGGGAGGTATGAGGTCAGCCCTGTGGGCAGTGCCAGGACAGGCCGTGGATAGTCCATAGGACGCAGGGTGTGGGAAGTTGTCTCTGGAAGCCCATGTGAGCTCTGTCCTGGGGATGCCCTCCTCAGGCACTGTCCTTCATTCCAAGGATGCAGTGGCGCGTGAGGCCAGGGATGCACGAAGCTCTTTCAGCCCAGCACTGGCCGCCGGTGACCCACCCGGTGGCACTTCAGCCTCAACGTCGGGTTTCTGCTGAGACCACCCGGGGTCAGGAGATGGGTTTTTTCCCCTCAAGGCAAAGCGCTGGCTGACGTGCTCCCTTCCCTTTGCAGGCTGAGCGATGGCAACGAGTACCTCTTCCAAGCCAAAGACGACGTAAGTCTCGAGTCACCCCCCTGGAGTGGGTGTCCGTGTGGGCGTGGGCAGTGGTGGCTGCAGCCCCGAGGGGCTGAAACACAGGTGCTGTCCCGGGACTGGATGGGGACCCCTGCCGCCCCCACTGCTGTGCTGTGCAACCTGAGGGAACGTCGGGCTCTGTTTACCACCAAACCCTTGTCACTGAACGAAATGCCAGATGTGACCTGCGGGTGGGAGCCGCGGGCTGGGCGAGTGCCCTCCCCGCTCCTGTCCAGAGCTGGCCGCCCGTGGACCCAAGCACACTCACCCCACCCCATTCTCCCCGCAGGAGGAAATGAATGCATGGATCCAGGCCATCTCCTTCGCCATCGCCGACAAACATGAGGTGGCCGCCAGCACCCAGAGCACGCCGGCATCCAGCCGGGCACAGACCCTGCCCACCAGCGTCGTCACCATCACCAGCGAGTCCAGTCCCGGCAAGCGGGAGAAGGACAAAGAGAAAGACAAAGAGAAGCGGTTTAGCCTGTTTGGCAAAAAGAAGTGACCCTGCCCTTCTCCTCCGTCCCTCTCCTTCCCGTGAAGTCCAGCATGCAGGCTCAGAACCAACATTACTCTCTGTGCCTACTGTTCCTCCATGTGGTTTTTTTGTTGGTTTGGGGGGTTTGTTTGTTTTTTTAATTTATAGAGCATTTCTGGGGTGGGGGGGTGGGAGAAATACACCTAAAAACACTTTATCTCCAAGTTACAAAAGTTTGAGGTGCAGAGGGAAGACCAGATTTTTTTTAAACAAAATTCTATAGATTAGATCTCAATATTTAAACTGTTCCTCAATTTTGTGAGGCTGTGTTGGAACGCCCTCCTCTCGTGCTGTTGGTACAGAAAGCAGAGGTGCTCAACCCGACCCTGGTGCCCATCTGAGACAGCCCGCACCCAACACCGCGGCTCGGCTCGGCCGACGCAGCCAACCACTATTCTGGTCTCCCTGCCCGGAGCAGCTCCACATAACTCTACAGACCAAACTGTTTATGTCAGGCTTCACTTACTAACCCACGACATGCGGCTTTTCTGCATCAATTGTGACGACGGTTAAGAATGTCAGTGTACAAGGAGTAGAAAACTGATACTGTTTTAAATAATCTGTAATTTCAACTTTTTTTTCCTGAAATACATTATATTGTATGTTTGAGATAATTCTAGTACAAAGTATAATAAAACTAGATATATAATAAACCCTTTAAATCATCGGTAAGTGTCCAAGTGGAACTGAAGCATTTACTGGACAAAGTAATGTTACTCTAATGGTTACTTGCTCGTGTTGCCACACTGTGTTATGATTTGCTTCATTACCTTGCTCTTTGATACATAGTGTGCATTTCTCTGTCACTGTAATGATTGTAACCACAAGTTTTCATCTTACTGCACAATCAGAATGACATGATAGGAATGAAGGAGGCTGGGCCTGAGGGGGGACGTTCGACCACCCAGCCCGCTGCTGTCGTATGACCTGTACCTCTCAACTTTTGCCCTATCTGTTAAATATATGCTATGTCATTAAATGCTTTTAAATCTAGCACGGTGCAGAAAACGTGTTGTTTTTCCTCTCTCGCATGCACACCATGTGGGTAAATTGCAGAGAAATAGCCAACGGTTGAAATTTTATTGGCAGTCCCTCTGGCTTCCTCTTTAGCATTCTCGTGTCTGTCTGGCATGCCGGCAGACTGCAGCGAGCAGTTTAAAACAGAATGTTCTTAGCTAGACACGAACATTTTCATCTTTCATTGACGCAGAGTTACCAGCTTTCTCGACCCAAACGCAGAGGCAAGGACTGGAAGACTTTTTCTGTGAAAGGCTAGACTTAGTAAGGCAGGCTGTGCAGCAGCAGGGTGCCCTGCGGGTCCCAATGATGCAGCACACGGGCCGTGATCGTACGTGGACAGATGGGTAATGCGCTCCTGAGACTGTTTGCCAGCAAAGCTGAAATCTTGTCATTTTCACATAACAAATAGTTGTCCTTTGATTTTCTTAAGAACAAAATTGATTACTTTTTATTTAAATGTAAGAAAATTTTTAGTATAAGGACTGTTTTAAGTCCACGGTTCAAAATACTTATCATTGAAGATCGTGGTAGAATCTTCAGTTTTTCATTTCCCAGTAGTAAGCACTACGCAGAAAACTAAATTCTGGCCTAAAAAAGAAAGTCCAGCGGGGAGGGTGCTTGCGACATGGCTGACCCAGGTCCAATCCCCAGCATCCAGTGGGGGCCCAAGGCCCACCAGGAGTAAATTCTGAGAGCAGAGCCCTGAGTGAGCCCTGAGCATTGCCAACTGTGGGCCAAAAACCAAAAAAAAAAAAAAAAAGTGAAAAGCCTTGCATAGCCTGTCCTGGTTTGATCTCTAGCAGGGTGCGTCCCCCTCAACCCCAGATGCAGCCATGGAGACCCACCAAGGCACCACGTCCCTCCACACTGGGCCATGGGCCCAGTTACTCCGACTCACCAGGAGTCCCTAGGGTCCCCCAGCACCAAAGTTCCATTTTGATGGGACTACTTCGCTTGACTCGTGCATCCCTCAGCAGCCCATGCTGTTTGCCAGATACCCCGTCTGTGGACATGCCCTGAGACTCATGGCCAGACAGTCCCCATGGGAACCTGCCTTGTGAGCAAGGCGCGTGTCTAACCAGTCTGTGCCAGCAGCCTCCCTGCTACTGGCCTGGACCCTCCGTGGCGATATTAGCAGACAGGCTAAAAATTTGTTTTTAAGCCTCAAATTTATTCATACTGCAAATAAGAATCCCATGGCTTTTACCATTTCCTGTGTTACGACCATCCTTCTCACTTAGAGCCATGACTCCCAAGGGTACAAGACGCTTAGAATATCCCTCATATCTTCTTAAACGTAAACTCAAAATAGCAGTATTAGTACCACCGCCAGTATGATTACTGAGTATTTTTTTATTTTTTGAATTGAGCTTTTAAACTATTAATAGACTGGTGGTTATAAGAATGATACCCTTTACCCAAGTTTTACCCAGACTTTACCCAGTTCTCACATACTGATAATTTCCAGAATTTCAGAACCATAGAGCAATTTCACGTGCAGAATGTTGGCATCACACTATGCAGGAAATTCCCACTAGGATTCCTGCTGTTGCTCTTCTCCAGCTGCACCTGCTTCCCAGGATGCCAGATGTGCGTTGAGGCTCACTCGGCTGCTCACAGGATCCAACCCTGGCCTCCTGCGAGCAAAGCATGTGCCTGGCCACTGAGCTAGCTCTCTAGTCCCCAGGAATAATTTTTAAAGACAGTTTGTCATCTGCTGTGTCATTTCAGTCTGCATTCTCAGGTGGGTTTTCCTGTATTTACTAGTATCTGAGGAAATAGGTCTATCCTGCTCTCTCCTTTGAACCTCAGGCAGTCTCAGGTCTTGCTTGTTTTCGGTACGGGAGGAGGGGGGTTCACACCTGGAGGTGCTCAGAACTGACTCCTGGTTCTGTGCTCAGGGATCACTCCTGTCAGGGCTCAGGGGGGTGTATGGATCAGTCCTGGGGTGCACACGCAAGGGAAGAGTTTCGCCCCTGTGCTCTCTGCTCCCTGCTAGTCTTAATTCTACAGATACTTGTCTGCTTGATACTCCCTTCCTGTGTGGGTGATGTCCTGTCATCCTTAGTGGCAGGGGTCACACATTATGTGGTAGATGATGTTTTCAAATTAGTTTATTCTGGGGCCAGAGACAATATTACAGCAGGTAGGCACTTGCCTTCCATGCAACCAAACCCATTCCTGGCATCCCTCTGGTTCTCTGAGCACAAAGCAGTAATTCCTGAGCACAGAGCCAGGAATCACCCCTGAGCATCACCAGGTGTGGCCCAAGAACCAAAATAATTTTTTAATTAGTTTATTCATCTCTCACCCACCTCCCACACCTTTTTGCTTTGTGTCATTTTTTTGGGTCAAAGAGCTAAAGTAAGGGTCTCCTCCGTTGCTTTCTGAGGTGACTCAAATTTCATAAGAAAATAAAAATAATAAATAATCTGTCATTGTAAATGTGAACTGCAGCATTTTTCAAATTTCATACCCAACTTAAAGAATTGAGGCTTGCCTAGAAAAGTGAGGATTTCCAACTTAGAAAGCAAAATAATCCCGACTCCCCTGTCTGTGTTAAGAAATGTTCTGTCCTGTTTAGAGCTCTAAATGTGTTTGTCCAGAGGTTGGCTGGCCTTCTGGGTTTTAGAAAGTCGAGTTGGGGAGACCCAGCCCTTGCACTTAACTCCAGGACCCAGAATATGAGTGAGAAATGCAAGCCGCGGGTTCCCAGCTGCTGAGGCCTCCCTCTGAGGGGCCTCCAAGCGCTTTCTCTGCAGGAGTCGAGCCAGTGCCCAGGATGGTCCAGGTCAGTGACCCGAGCTGCCCAGGTCCCTTCCAGTCTCAGGGAGAAATTCGGGCATTTGTTTTTCCTCCTGGTCAGACAGGCAGAGCCTGGCTCCGAGCAGAGGAGGGGAAGGGCCTGTCTCCTCTTGTGGCTAGCCCTGCTGCTTCAACTTTACCATCTAGACATGGCCACCGCCCAGCCCTGGATGTCTGTGTCCTGTGGACTTCATAAGCATGCACTGGCTCCACTTGCCCCTCAGTCGTCATCACTGTTTGGGGTGTGTGTGGAGCCGGCGTGGATGCCGGCGGCCAGGGTTCCTGAGAATTCGTTTTGGAAAGGGCATTTGCCCTTCCCTAAACTCAGAGTGCTGTTTCCCCCCTCCCCCTACACCGCGCGTGTGACCTGCCGCATCCCCTGCGCCGCAGCCAGCTCTCCGCTGCCTGCTCGGTTCTCAGTGGCCTTCTGAGTCCCCCAGAAACTGACTTTTCAGTGCCATGTGGATTGTTCTCACGAGACTGTAGCAACGGTCTTTGATGCTATGAGGGAATGGACCCTGGCTCCAGGGTCCCAAGAGATGGTGTCCCCTGCACCAGCTGGGCCTCCTGGCCCTGGTTTCCTGGCCCATCCCGCTCCTCTGCTCCTGGCCTCTGGGACCCCTGCAACAGGAAAGGAAGTATCCCCTGCACTGCCTGCGAAGTCCCTCCAAAGTGGCGGCAACTCTCAGGGGCAGCTGGCGGCCTAAGGGCTGGACACTAGATGCTGTGAACCCCTGTCGGGTTCCAAAGCAGGGACAGGCAGAAGGAACGTCCCTAGGGATGGCCGGTTCTGCCCTATTTGGGGGGCAGGGCCGAGCAGATGTGGGGGCTGACTGCCACCGAGCACGTGCGTCCTGCCTTGCTGGTGAAATAACGCTGTGTGGAGGGGAGGCTCACAGCTCAGGAAAGGACCAATTTGCCAGGATGGTTTGAGCTCATCGCTCCTCTGGCTAAGGAAAGGAAGGAGGAGATGGAGCCATGAAGCAGATGCTCTTGTGCTGGAGCCCGCTCCCAGCCAGCTTTGTTGGTACTGGAACAAGCCACAAAGCAGGGCAGAGGCCCAAGGAAGGCGCTGGTGGGAAAGGTGTTAAGGAAAGAAACTGGGGCGCCCTCTGCACAATGTTATTCCTCCTTCCACAGTGCCCTTCGTGCTCCAGCTACCAGTGCTCTTCACCCTTGCAGTCAAGACCTGGCAGTCTCCCAGCACATACTGCTGGCCATGTTGGTCCTGGGACCTGGCAAAAGGAACCAGAATCCACTTCTGAGCATCGCAGGAGGAGCCTTGGGACGAGGAAACAGTGGGGAGATGAGATGAAGGCAGATCTGTTGAGTCCCCACGGCAGGATGCATCGCCAGTCTCCAACAACCCCACCAATTTTCCAGTTCTGTCAGGGGCGTTGATCATGACAAAGGCGTGGAAGGTAAAACCAGTTGATACAGTAAGGACTCAGGCTTCGGGACGGGCCTTTTTTAAAAACAGTCGCTGACCCAAGCGCTGCAGATTCAATTCGATTTCCTCTTCATTTTAGGATCCTGATTTCTCCTGATTGGCAACTCTCAAAACAGGATGCCCATCAGCTGTGTGCCCTGTTCATGTCTAAATCAAGAGCTATTAGTCATCGGCATCCGTTCACATTCCTGTTCTTTCATGGTTCCATAGTAACAGGCTGTGTCCATAACACAGTTAAAATAGAGGGAATGAAGCCTTCAGAGCAACTAATTGCCACTGTTACGCCTTTGGTGAATCTTTTTCTCCTTGAAACAAGGGATCCAGATCAATTGAAATCTCAAAATGACTTGCATTCTCAAAAAAATATGAACTGGAAATTATTTTCTAGTATGAAAGCAGAGCTACCAAGAGGGACAGATGTCCCAAGTGGCTTCCTGGAAGCAGGAAGGAGACAGGCAGCAGGAGGGACCCCGCTTTCTCTCTCCCCACCTCTGCCCCCGGGGAACAGCTTGGGGAAACCTAAGACCCTGAAAGTCAGCTGCGAGCCTGGCTCCTCGCAGGAAGGAAAGTTAGTGCGAGGCCTTCCCCTGGCCGTTCGGGGTCTTGCCTCTACTTCTCAGAAAAGAACTTCAGGAAGAGACAAGCAGTGCAGTAAGAACAGGTTTGGTCTGCAGATTTGAGGACAGGGCAGCGAGAGAACACAGGCTTCTTCTGCAGG